CATGCAGACAATCTGTAGTAGTCCTGTCCTGCCTGGGCTCCCATGTAGTTTTTCTTTGGAACTTAGCTAGAAGCAGTTGTAGTGCTTACATTCTACACACCTGCAGATCTTGCACATGCGCCACCACTAATGAATATGGCCTGTGCTCTTGGGAGTTGTGGTCTGAACTGCCCTTGGGTACTTTAGGCCTTCGCTGGAATCCTGGTTCTGAGATTGCATGGTGAAGACAGCTCTCAGGACCCTAACATGAGCTTTGTTATGGAAAGGGTGGCAGCCAAATCCATCTTTAGAATCCTTCTTTATTTTTCTATTTGTGTCAGCCAGCTTTTTGTGACAAAATGCTTGAGATAATGAAGGAAGGGTTTAATTTTGGTTCACTGTTTCAAAGTTTTCAGTCCATGGTCACTTGGCTTTGTTGCTTCTGAACCAATGTATGATATGATAGACCATTATGATAGGGAGAGTAAGGGGTGACGTGAGGCAAAGTGGCTCAACTCAAGGTAAACCAAAGGCAAGGTGGGGGCCAGGTGAGGACCAGGTGGAGAAGATAAGATGAAAGGTCCCAAGACCAATAGTGTCACCAACTTTGGTGTAGGGGGACATTTCATACTCAGACATTTCATAACACCTGTTGTATAGAAAGGAGAACTATGCCACTAAAAGTCATTTTATCGACTAATGAGGTGGCTCAGTGGGTAAAGGTGCCTACTGCCAAGCCTACCAATTGAATTTGATCTCTGGGACCTATAATGTAGAAGCAGAGAACCAACTCCTGAAAGTTGTCCTGTGATCTCCATGTATATGTTGCAGCATGTGTGTATTCATATACACAAACACAAAATGTAATGAAACATTTAAATAAAAATAAATCATTTTATGATGCTAGCATGTGATACCGAATTTTAATAATATTTGCTTTTTGCCTGTGAGAAAAGAAAATAATACTCAGTTCATTTACAACTAGACTTAACAGTTTGATACTATTGATTTACTTTTTTGGATGGGAAAACTGATTTTATAATATACACAAGTAAGCAAAAGGCTAAGATTATAAAACAAACTCTTAAGAACAGTAAGGCGAGAGAGATTGTTTCAGAGTTAAGCAAAGTTCTCAAGCCGGTGTACCTTGGGTTCAGAGAGGAGTCGTGCGTATGTGCTTCAACCATGACAAGTACTGTTGCAGATAGAGGGAGAAAGTGCTTTTCAGGAAATGGTGCTACCAATTTGGTTTTCATAAGGAAGGGAAGGAAGGTGCATTACCTTACACAGTAACTAAATACCAAGCGATCAAGGGCATGAATATGAAAGGGTGTGGTATACTTTGAAGAAAATATGAGAAACTGTCTTAAGTGATCTCAGTTTGGTGAAGAGTTTTATCTGAACAGACTTAATTATAAGTAAGTTTGTTTTAGAGATGTATGTTGGTAACAATGACAGCCTCAGGTTGCATTGTTAGTACAGTTTCTAGTTACCTATTCAAGTGGCAAAAAGCAAATATGACTTCATTTTACTCCATTTTACTTCCTCTGGAGTTTAGTGTTAGCTGGTGCATCTGGTTAGATTTTTATTATTATTAGATTTATGCATTTCATTTTTTCAATAGGTTTTGCCTGCATGTATGTATATGTGCACATCTTGCATGCCTGGTACCTGTGGAGGCCAGAAGAGGGCATTAGCTAACCTTGAACTGGAGTTACAGATGATTGTGAACCACCATGTGGGTGCTGAGAATCAAACCCCTGTCTTCTGGAAAAGGAATAGTGGCTCTTAACCACTGAGACATCTCTCTAGCCCGCATCTGGCTGTTTTTTTGTTTTGTTTTGTTTTGTTTTGTTTTATGTTTTAAGGCTTTCTGCATTTCTGCATTGGAGGTTCCAATGTCTAAAAACCTGCTGATGCCAGGTGTTAGTTGATTTTCTTTATTCTTTCATTGCCAAGCTGTAGGTTGTCTGTAAAGGTTCAAAACTTTGAAATTGTGATTTATAGCATGAATACTAGGTATTTTGCTTTATATTTTTATCACTCCTAGTTATCAGTACAGAAGTTCCTCTAAAAAGTTGGAATGTGGAAATGGATAGCCAGAAATAGGAATATTTTTATTGGTTGATTTTTTTTTTTTTAATCTTTTGGGATGTGCATATTTCACCCTATTTTCGCTTGTGCTCATCATGACTTGGTTTCATAGACCCACTCACTCTTCAGCCCCCATCATGGCCTCTCCATTTCCTGCTGGTTCTTTTTGTTGTTTTGCTCTGAGACGAGGTCTTATATATACCTCAGACTGACTGGAACTTGCTATATAGGTCTCAAAATTGTAGCAATCTTCCTGCCTCTGATTTCTGAGTACCACTGTACCAATCCAGCTGGGGTTTATTCTTCAGGGTGTCTGGTATTCAAACACATTTTCCTCGGCTCAAATGTTTGCTTTCTTGCTATTGGTAGAACACTCAGTTTCTCTCACAATAACAAGCTTTCCTAAAACTTGTTACTCCAATCTTCTTGTCCCGATTTTATTACTTTTGTGAGATTATCATGTGAGGTCCTAACACTTAGGCAGCAAGTGCTTTTACCTGCTCAGCCATCTCTCTAGCCTTCCTGTTTGTTTTGAAGTAAGTTCTTGGCTGGCTGGAACTCACTACCTTGCCCAGGCTATTCTCAACCTTGCAGTAATACTCCTGCCTCAGTTTCTCTAGTGCTGATATTGTTACAAACATGCACTGCCGTACTCAGCTGTAATTTGGTTTTAAACCAGAATCATTTGGTTGATGTGTGTTGAACAGAAAGAAGGGCAGAGTGATTGAAACAGACTAGTTGGAGAGTATTACAGTCATACAGTGATACAAATCTGTTCTTGTTTTTTTTTCCTTTGGCAACTTCATACATCTGTGCAGTGAATTTTGGTCATTCTCATATACCCTTCCTACTTTCCTCTCATCCCCCTCTACTGTTTAAATTTTCTTCCCAACAGTCTCCACCCACCTTGTTTCCATGTCTTTTTGTGTGTGTATGACTCACTGAGTTAATTAGAGGTGTAACAAGACAGATATTTTATACAAAGCATTAGAATTAGTGTAAAGAAGGATCTGGTTTTGAAAAAGTTTAGTAAAAACATTAAGATTAATGCTCATTGTTAGGGATAAAGAGGAATAGAGTCCTATTGTTGGGAAAGTAAATGGAAAGCAATCTCTATTATTTACAGATGTGCCTTCGTGCTTATAATGGTTGTTGGGTTCCCGGTAGTTGGGATTACAATTTTGAGCCACCTGGTATGGGTGCTGCAACTGCTCTTAACTGCTGAGCCTTCTATACCCCTTAATTATTCTTAATAAAGGAGTATCTAAATCTGTGCTGTCTGTGGAACTGTTAAAATTAATAGCTTAGCTAAAATTAATGTATATGGTGTCATGGAAGCAGCAACTGTGTGTGTGTGCGTTTTAAAAAAGATAATTCTACCTTTTAAAAGAAGCAGCTGAGAGATGGTGTGTTCAAGGTTCAAATACCCTGTTTCAATCAGTATATCAATTGCTAGTACTTAATACTGTATTTATTGGTTGATTGCTTTAGAGACATGGTTTGATGTAGCCCAGGGTGAACATGAACTCATTTTGTAGTTGAGGATGACCTTGAACACTTGACTTACAGCTTCGGCTTCCCAAGTGCTGAGATTATAGGTTTGTACTGTTGTGTCTAGCTAAAATTTTAATTTTTATAAGACTTCTGTTATGTAGTGCATATGTATGTGTGTGATTTTATACATATATGTAGTGATTGACAGTAATTTTATTATCTTTAATACAATATTAGCATTACAGTCTTTGTAATATGCAGTTTTTGTTTTAGGTATTTAAAATGTTGTAAAATTATCTTAAAATAAGTTATAAAGTCCCTAAGGGTTTCATGTACAGGTGGTGAAGCTGGTGGTGCATGATTTTAATTCCAGCACTTGGGAAGCAGGGCAGATGGATCTCTGACTTTGAGGTCAGCCTGGTCTGTAGAGTGAGTTCTAGGAGCCAGGGCTACAGAGAAGCCCTGTCTCCAAAAAAAAAAAAAAAAAAAAAAAGAGGGTTTCATTTAAGAAATTCCTTATGTTCAGCATTTTATTAGGTAATACATAGATGTGTAAAATCATTTCTATGCATGACTAATAATCAAATGGAATGAAGACATGCAATAAGCAGTAAATGGTGGATATGTATATGAGAATCTATTAGTCTGATTGTATGAATTTGTCCTAAGGAAATAAGTGGCAAGTGTATAATGACAGATAGTAATGTTCATGAGTTTATGATATTGAAAATTAACCTCAGGGGCCACTATAAATTAAGCAGAATATTATGTAGTGGTCTCAATTAATGATTGTCCTCTACAGTTACTGACTGGTAAAGTCCTCAGTCCACTAAAAGGGAAGGAAAACAAGTTTAAAGCATTGTGTATCATATTCTGTCTATTGATGGCAAGATTATAATCCTCAGAGAAATTATGTATATCGATTTGGGCAGGCAACATGTGGAAGAGGACTAGATTACTAGTCCTCAGCCTTTTGGGACTCACATTCTTTTACTGTGTATAAAGATCATGTCTTTAGTTTGTCCCATATATGATTTAAGTGAATGACACATAGTCTTTTTATTAGTATAACAGTTAATCATGTATCTTTTTTTTTTTTGTATACCACAAGGTCAGTTTGGAATCATAGCAGGTTTACTTCCTAATCATCAGATTGTTTGATGGCATAAAACTTTAGTCACCTGTGTAACTGTGACTGTTTATCAGATAGACTTTTGTTCTTATCAAATACCCTGAGTTTCTGGACTTGATTTTATGAAACTAATAGATAAAGTTCTTTTGTGAAAATTCCTTGTAAGACTTTCAGATCGTACATATATGGATGTGTGCATGTGTATGCAGATTACTAAGTTGTGGTTAACCTTAAATCTTAAACCATGTTTAAGAATGCTGTCACTCACTGCTTTTAAAATATGTGTTTTATTCCCACTTAGGCCGAATACACCAAGCAATGGTAACATCTTTAAATGAAGATAATGAAAGTGTCACTGTTGAGTGGATAGAAAATGGAGATACAAAAGGCAAAGAGGTACAGTTTCTGATTAAACATCATTTCTAGTCAAGATTATGAATAAAACTATGTTTTTTTATGATGTAGATATTCTGTATCATTCCTTTAAGGACTTTAAAGTAGGGGCTGGAGAGATAGATGATTCAGTGGTTAAGATGAATGACTGTTCTTCCAGAGGACCCTGGTTCAATTTCCAGTCCCAACATGTTTTTTTTACCGCCATCTGTAATAGTCCCAGAGGATCCAACACTTTTCTGGTGTCCAGGGGCACCAAATATGCACATGGTACACAGATATTCATGCTGATAAAACCCCTACCCCAGCACCAAATATGCACATGGTACACAGATATTCATGCTGATAAAACCCCTATACATAAAGAAAAAAAATTCATTTTCCAGTGAGTTTTAAAAGTTAACCAAAAGGAGACTTTCCCTGTATTACCTGTTCATTAGCTCAGCGTATAAGATTTGCAGATTGCTATATATAAGTAACAATTTTGTAGTTTTGATGGTCACTTTTTCTTAAAATCAAGTGTAAAATATATGTGAGCTATTGTTATAAACAATGTAGTTTGCAAAGTGGCGTCATACTTTAGGTTGAAGCCATTTAAGAGTCATTTGCTTTATAATTCCATGTTTTTGTTTAAACAGATTGACTTGGAAAGCATCTTTTCACTTAACCCTGACCTTGTACCTGATGAAGAGATTGAACCTAGTCCGGAAATACCTCCACCTTCATCATCAAAAGTGAACAAAATTGTAAAGGTAGGTGATAAATTTAGGGGTGTGTGTGTATGCACTCACTCAAGCTGACTTGAGACTGGTAGACTCTGAAGAATATGTATATATTAAGGATTGATTGGTTTACATTTTTTAAAAATTCTACCATTTGAATCCATGCATACACATGTATGCCTTCCTGAGTCAGGTTGTCCAGTTCACAATTGATGACAGTTTTTAGATCATATCATAAGAATTCCTTGCCTAGTTAGGATTGGGTGGGTGATAGCCTCTCAGGATAGGTGACTTAAAGATGTTTTCTTAAAGATGTTGAATGAGCGCTTACTGACTGACAAAGTACCTGTTTGTTAAGAATAACAAATACTCTGATGATCTTTTAAAGTGATGAGAATTGGTAAGAGTAGTGTAACTAGCTATGTTGTTGGTGAGGAGATGCTTCGGGGCAGTGTTGCATCCTCCGGGAAGCCATGTGCAAATGTGAAAAGCCCACTAATTTTATCTTTTTAAAGGCAGCTCTTCAATTCTCTAGAAACTCTATTAATAAATTCCATGAAAATACAAGTCTTTTAAAATCAGACAGTCTTGCTATGTTGTTGAAACTGTACTTATTAATGTTTAATTCAGTGGCATCTGTTGATTTTTCTACCTTGTGCAGGTACTACGTTAATACATAGATGCATTATGACATGGCTTGCAAGCCTATAGGAATTCCATATTTTGCAAGAAAACATATGTAAACATGCAAGTGTATTATAGAGACTTAACCATCCTAAAAATACTCTGCTTTTAAACTATGTATATGAACACAAATCAGAGTTTCAGTTCATATAACTTAAGCATAGTGAGAGTCACTTCTTAGAGGTTCTTAATATGTATACATGGACTGTCCATGCACATCTTCAAAGCCTTAATGGATTAGCATAGTTTTATCTACCCCTCCCATTCCCATGTTGAAATCAAGCCCAGTTTTCCTCCTTTGCCTTGGCATTCTACATCTCAGCCTTGATGTGTTGTTGTTAAACATTACTTTTCATTGTGATCACTTGGATTTTTAAAAATACTGATTTCTGGGTATCACTTTTGAGATAATACCACTATCCAAATAGTACCTAATCTGATTGGAATGTGCAGCCAGGATTGAGTAACTAAATTATTTGCTGTAGGTTTATTTCTAAGTGAATTCACTCTTAGTAGCTATATAATTAGGACCAAAAATTGGTTGCCTTAATCTATACAGTAGCCAAGCCTTTGCAACCTGTAATGAAACTTTTTTAGGATAACTCGCCATGTTTGTTTCATAGTACTTTGGTATATTTCAGTTTAATAAAGGAGTCAATATTGTATTACCGCCTTAGATCCAAAGATGTAATTTACTACTAATTCCTCAATCCAAGATCAAAAGTGCTCCAAAATCCAAGGTTTTAACATTTTTATTTATTAATATTTTATTCTTGGTTTGTGTGTGAGTGTAGGTGTGTGCATGCCATGCCATTCAGGTGAGATCAGAGGACAGCTTTCAGGAGTTGGTTCTCACCCCCAGCTTTGTTGAACTTGGGTCTCTTGTTTCTCTATGTACTCCAGGCTTCTGTCTTGCTGCAGGAGTGTTTGAATTACAAGAGCACACAACTACATTTGTGCGTGGCGGGGGTCTAGGATCAACTCAGGTTAGACTTGTGAAGCAAGTGACTTAACCTACTGAGCCATTTTGCCATTCCCCAAATGCATATTTTTTGAGAAAAAACATCAGACACAGGAGAAATTTTTCACATGAAACGTTATGTGATGAATTTCAGTCAGAATAAAGCTACACCAAAAGTATTATACAAAATTACCTTTACAGTGGTTTGAGGTCCCTGGATAAGAGCACTTGCACCACTGTCATGAAGATTCAGGTCTGCCTAACTAGCATACAAGTAGCTAAAACAGCAGGTGTGACTGGTGCTTTACACACCTGCAACCACAGCTCTATAGAATGTAGAGACTGAAGTTATCTATTGCTGGGGCTTGCTGACTGTTGGCCCAGTTCCAGCTTCAGTGAGTAACCCTGTCTCAGGGGAATAAGATGGGGCATGACAGCAGGTACCAGATGTCCTCCACTGGGTCTCTCTCTGTCTCTCTCTGCTATGTATATATATAACTTATATACAATGCAAATGAATTTGCATAAAATTGAGTCCTGTTCCCAAATGTTACACATATGAGTGCACATATACAAATATTCCCACGACATGAACAAATATGAAACATTTCTGGACTCAAATATTTTAGATAATAGATCCCCCAACCTGTAATCATTTCTGGCATGATAGCATTATAGTATATTACTTAGCCTCACTTCAGATCTCATCTGAAATGGCAATAACAGTAAACACACTTTCTGAGATCTGCGCTGACTGTAGTGGATCAATGATGAAAGTAGTCAAACCTGAGCATCAAAGGACCTTCCAATGTGCTTTGATGTATGAGCTCCATAATGCTGAGAAGCAAAGCCACAAAATTTTCTTCCTTCCCTCCCCCCTTCTTTCTCTTTCTCCCTATCCTCTGCATTGTGTGTGTGTTGATGTGTTCATTTCTGAGTAATGATGAAAAATTGTACTACTAAACTTTAAAAATATATAGAATTCTACACTTGACCTGAGTTCAGAATTAAGAAAAGAATGACTCCATAAAGTTGTATAAAAGGGAAACAAATAAGGTCCTTAGAACAATATTTTTCTCATTCCTGAATATACGGGTATTTGGATATGTGCCCCCTACAGGAGCTTGACTATTGATAAATTAGCAATTTTTTTATTATTTATAGTTTTTCTCCATTCAGTTTATGTTACTGTTGCTTGTTTGCTTTCATTTAATTAAAAGAAGCTGGGGCAATGATAGATGTGAGGAATGAATACAATGAATATTATTTTCTTTTATAGAACCGACGGACTGTGGCATCATCTATTAAGAATGACCCTCCCCCAAGAGATAATAGAGGTGAAGTAGACCATTATCCCATAATCTTGCCTATTGACTTTTAGCATGGCCTTGATGAGGTATATCAAAAGTAAATACTACCCTTGGTGCTATTTGTTTAAACCACACATGGCTAATTTTAAGATTAGTATATTCCTGATTTCCTAATATCCCAATAGCATTAATAATTTCTCATTAGTTTAAAAAATATGAGATACTCGCTTGACGTTGGTGGTGCACACCTTTAATCCTGTCACTTGGGAGGCAGAGGCAGGCAGTTTGAGGCCAGTCTGGTCTATTGAACAAGTGCCAAAGCTACACAGAGAAACCCTGTTGAGAGAGAGAGAGAGAGAGAGAGACTGTCTGTCTGTCTGTCTGTCATGGTGAGGCATGCCTGTAATTTGAGCACTCAGGAGGCAGAGGCAGGAAGATCCCTGCAAGTTGGAAGCCAGTCTATAGTCTGTATAGGAAATTCTAGGTCAACAGAGCAGCATAGCAAGACTCAATAAAACAAAACAAAAAAATTCACAAATGTATATGGTGAGTAGAAACTCAACAGCATATAGTTTTTTTATTCATTTCAATTTTTATAATTTGAGGAGGACATTAGAGAAAGAAGAAATGAATGGAAAGAGTCAGATGATTTATGATGTCACAGGATGAATTTCATTATTACTGGTTCGATCATAATTTTCTGACTAAGAGGCCTCCAGAAAGTTTAACAGTTAACTTTGAAGTTGGCAAAAGATAATTTGAATTATTTGAAGTATGTCTCTCTGTGTGTGTATGGATGTAGAACAAGATGGCCAGAGCAGAGATTAAAAGTAGAGAGGAGAAAGCCCTTCCATTACCACCCTTCAAGTCTTTTGAGAGCTTACATTTCTTGGTATATTTTCTGAGCCTGTGTGCATGGGTGTGATCGTGTTTGAAACAGGGTCTCTGTAACCCAGGTTTGTCTTGAGCATGATAGACAAGAATGATCTTGAGCTCTTGGTCTTTTTAACTGTCTCCAGTGCTGGCATTACACATGTGCCACCACACCCAGCCTTCTGTTTATATTTAATTTTCAGTTCTTTTTTGCATTTTTGTGACATCTACAGTAGGGAAATACTCTGCTGAGATTTGCATGTTGGGGAGCAAAAGAATGGAATCAGTAATGTAAGGAAGGTTGGAAGAACTTTTACATTTGTTTTCTATGTATCTAAATCATGTATTTCTTTTTTTTTTTTAATGAGAATGCTTTTGTATTGCATATATACTCTGGGAAATGTCTTTGCATTCTGGAATTGTAAGACATGTTTCATGTGCATCTTTTAAAAAATGATTGTTAAAAGTCAATTTAGCCTTTGTTTTTAGGTAAATATTTAGTTTTGTAGCTAAAATTACTCTGGTAGAAGTTAAATCTGCACATTTTTGCTTGTGTTTTAAGGCTCAGTTTCTTCATTGTATATAACTTGCTGTAAAATCTATGCTGGCCTCAGACTCAGATCTGCCTGCCTGCCTGCCTGCCTGCCTCTTGCCTGATGTAACTATACTTTGAAAATGTCTTTTAGTTGTGTCAATTTATTGAATAGAATTGACCACTTTTAGTAGTTTATACATCATTTATAGAAAAGTTTGGCAGTTTGCTAAGTGTAAATTATTAACGTTTTTTAGGGGGGAGAGTGGGGTAGTTGCCAGACAGTTTCTCTGGTTATCCCAGCTGTCCTAGAATTCCCTCTGTAGACCATGCTGGCATTGAACTTGAGGAGATCCACCTGCCTTTGGCTCCTGAGTGCTGGGATTAAAGGGATGTGCCACCACTGCTCGATTATTGACTTTTTTGAGGCAGGGTCTCACTAATAATAACCAGGCTTGCCTCAAACATGTATTGATCATCCTGCCTCAGCCTACCAAGTGCTGGGATTATAGGTATGAGACCTTGTGCCTGGCATGAGTTCAATATTTATGTATCACATTTGACATGGTGATGTCTTTTCCTTTTACCTTGGTTAGCTTTTAATACTGTTCTGAATTAAATTTGTTTTGTAGTGGTTGGTTCAGCACGAGCACGGCCTAGTCAGCTTCCTGAACAGTCGTCTTCTGCACAACAGAATGGTAGTGTTTCAGATATATCTCCAGTTCAAGCTGCAAAAAAGGAATTTGGACCTCCTTGTATGTAAATAGAATATCAAGGATTCAGTCATTTTAGGCATACATGTAGTCTCTCTTGGTCATCATTACAAGTTCCTAAGTAGTAAGCAATCGAAGACAAACTTGGCTGAAGATTTCATTTTGCCAACAAATTATAATTTGTATTTCGTGCTTTAGTCTGTTAATTGGATGTGTGCATAAATATACATATCATTTTGTGTGCGGTTATAACAATGGTTCAATTGCTTTGAATTTAAAATTCTGGCCAGGTGGGGGTTTTTTTGTTGTTATTGTTCTAGAAAAATGTTACATTTATTGATCATTTCAATTTAAAGGCCTGTGATTCTAAACCAAGAGATGACATGTATCAGTGTGTTTGAGTCATTTCCCTTGACTCATCTGTATAATGTCCTGTTCCTACTTTGGTTAAAGCAGCTCATAAGTCAAGTTCACCTAGATATAATTGGCATGCTTCATTACTGTGGACTTTGTATATGTGTGTGTGTGTGTGCTGAAGTTTTCATACAATTTCTGTATGTTAATTGTAATCTTTCAAAGAGAAAACTGTGCTTCTTTAGTTCATTCTTTTCCTTTTAGCACGTAGAAAATCTAATTGTGTTAAAGAAGTAGAAAAACTGCAAGAAAAACGAGAAAAAAGGAGATTGCAGCAGCAAGAACTTAGAGAAAAAAGAGCCCAGGTTTGTAACATAAACTCCTAATTTTTTTTTTCTGAGAAAAGAGTAGGTTCTAACAGTGGAAATAGTTGGTTTTAAAATAAGGTTAAGGAATTCTCAGCTACAGTGATTCCAGAGAAAGAATGCACAGAATCCATTGACTCATGCTTAGTAGACATGCCACCTGGTGTTTCCTAGTGGCACTTCATAAGGCTTAACCATCCCGGTGAGTTCTTGATTCTAACTTAACATTGTGTTTCCTAGTTAACAAGTTGGTGCCCTTTTCTAAAGATGAGTAGAAGATAAATTTCAGTCACAGTTTTAAAATCTTTCTTCTGTATAGTCTAAATATTAATAGTAAAATCTGACTTGAATATTAGTGATTTATTATTCATCGCAGGGAGGATTTTTAAAAAACCTTGTCAGTATTCAATTTGAAATAAATTGCAGTCAAAATGCAATACCTTGATTTTTTTTTTTTTTTTTAACTTTTTAAATATTATCTTGATTTTGAGCTGCTTGTAAGGCATACCTCTCAGACCCTGGGAGGTAGAGGCAGGAGGACAAAAGCTCAAGGTCAGCTTGGACTACATGAAATCTGACACCAAAAAGCAAAAGCAAACAAATTATCTTTGTTTGTGTTTTAATTTTTTTATATTGCTTTTTGTTTTTGTTAGCGTCTTGGTTATCTTAGCATTAACAAAGAGAAGGGAAATGAATGTAAATGAATCCATGTTTTAATTTATTTGTAAGATTATATTTAAAAATAGGGCATGTATATGTAACTAAAATGCATGCTTATGCCTTTGGACCAGACTTTTCAAAGAATCCTTTAATGTTTTGACAATAGAACTGGCATGGGCAGAGAAAAGTTAAATAGTAGTTCTTTTGGAAGAGCAGTAGTGATGGACAGGGTAGGTAAAGAAGGAGCCTCATTATGGATGTGACTGCAGGAACAACTCCATGGTGACTTGTGCAAAGTTGATAATACTTAATATTGAAATACTAGATTAAGTAGTTCTGAGAGTTGGGATGTAGGATGCATTTTCCCACAGTTTCAACCTTCCTAGAGTTCTTTTTAGAGTGCTGTTTAATTATAGGTGCTTTTTTAATAGTTAAAGGGTAGTTTTAGTGAGGAACTGTGAAGTCCACAGGATATATGCAGATTAACAGAATTGTGTTATCTGTGTGAAAGTGAATCTGACCATACATACCAATGTGAACTTACTGCCAAATTTTATTTTCTAATAGGATGTTGATGCTACAAATCCAAATTATGAAATTATGTGCATGATCAGAGACTTCAGAGGAAGCTTAGATTACAGACCCCTAACAACAGCTGATCCTGTAAGATCCTTTGTGAATTATTTCTCTGAAGATTGATAGTATAAATAAAAACATTGATAATGACTAATTGCATATTTTATTTACCTGTATGGTTTTCTTAGAGGTTCAGTTCTCATGTTGTGAGAAAAATCATAACTCAGCTACTTTTTTGTTCATCTTCCGTAGTTTTAATATTAGAGGTCCTACCCACATAACTGCTCTTTGCAAATGAAGCCTCCGTCTTCAGAATGACTGTGCATCAGTTAGTGATAGCATAAGAAGACCTTCACAATGGCTTTGATCTCAGTTCCAGGCTTATTTTAACTTTGGTTTGGACTATATATCCCACCACTATTCTAATTTATTGTTAACTAGCTTGTTATTTTTAAATAAATGTTACTCTGGCTTTAGCAGTAATAAAGGCTACAGTAGACCAAATTCCAGAGCTGACAAGTATTCTATAGTTTCATTACCTGCTGCAGAATTAAAATACTTTTCCAAGGAAAAATAATACTCCTGACCTAACGGATATAGAATGTTTGGCTACCAAAAAAGTGTTTGTGGTAGGCAGTGTGTTACAGGTCCTGATAGATGTCTTATTCATAAACCTGGCCTTGCTACACTGCCAGGCCTTTCAACTATTGCAACCGAGCTCATGTTTTAATTAAATCAGGCAAAACTCCAAAATAGGTCTGGTGATGGGAAATTATTTATTCCAAGAAAGTATGTATTGAATGTAAGTTTTATCTTTAAAATTGTACATAAGATTTGTCATTAATGTGGCTGTAGAGATGGCTCGGTGGTTAAGGGTCCATCTGTTCTTGGGGGAGACCCAGTTTGGATGTTCTCAAGATTTCCAGCAGTACCCATGTCAGGCCCACCAACTTTTACCTCCAGTTCTGGGGGAATCCAGCATTTACATGCACATAAGAACTTTTTCTTTCTTTCTTTTTTTTTTTTTTAAAGAATTGTCATTCATAAAATTGTTCCAATTATTTTGTTCAGTAATGTGAGAATCCTGGTTTTTTGCTTGTTAGTGATTATGAAATTATGTGCATTTTGCCAACTTTATCTACAATCAACATGAAAAAGATGACAGTTTGTAGAATAGGAACTTTTCTTTTATTGTAAACAACACATCTTGAAAGTGGCAAGTACCTTCTTAACAAGAACTTAATGCTAAGGATAGTAGTACTTTCTAAAAGCTTATTTGCTACGTAATGGCTTATCAAAAATAAGTAAGTTTCCCCAGTGCTCAGAATTTTAGTAATTGTTTCTGACAACCATTAAAATTTTTGCAATGCTAATTTGTTTTTTAAAGCTTAAGTACCATGTTTATGTTGCAAAATTTCTAAAAATCATAGTTTACTTTGTGTTGTTTTACATAGCACTTATAATCAATGAAATAATGTGGTTTTTATTCCTAGATTGATGAACATAGGATATGTGTTTGTGTAAGAAAACGACCACTAAATAAGAAAGGTATGGCGCTTAATGAGCTTCATAGAGAGTGGAATTCAGAAATCCGGCATGGTAACTAATTCCTGTAATCCAACATTCAGGAGCCTGAGGGAGAAGGTCTTGAGTTCCAGGGCATCCTGGACTATATTGTGAGAGTTTATCTCCAAAATGAGAAATATTTAGATGGGTTAGTAAAAAAAAAATGCCTGCTGCCAGTCCTACTGCCCTGAGTTTGATTCCTGAGACCCACATGGTGGAGGGAGAGAACTGACTCTTAGAATTTTCTTCTTCCACATTTATACCATGTATGCATGCATTCTCTCTCTCTCTCTCTCTCTCTCTCTCTCTCACACACACACACACACACACACACACACACACACACAAACACACAGTATTAAAATAAGTTTTTAAAGATCTTAAAATCTTTTTTTTTAATTTTCATTAGATCAAATGCTATGAAAATTACTGAACATTGATTTTTCATTTATTCTTTTAGAAACTCAAATGAAAGATCTTGATGTAATCACAATCCCTAGTAAAGATGTTGTGATGGTACATGAACCCAAACAAAAAGTAGACTTAACAAGGTACTTAGAAAATCAAACATTTCGTTTTGATTATGCCTTTGATGACTCAGCTCCTAATGAAATGGTTTACAGGTAAGTGAATTTGTTTCAAACAAGTTCCTTGACAGCTTAATACTGTTCTTAGTATAGCTCTCCATGGATGGAATGTACTTTCTCATTCTTCAGGGGTAACCAAAGAAAATGTAATAAACTATGAATTTTAACATGTAATCTCCTTAATACTTTAAACGATTAGGTTTTTTTTGTTTTGTTTTTTCCCCCTGCGTGTGGTGGCACTCAGAAGGCAGAGGCAGAGGTTGGAGGATCTCTGCAAGTTGGATGCCAGCCTGGTTTACATAGTGAGCTCCAGGATTGCATAGAGACCCACTCTCAAAAAAACAAAAATTAGTTTTTTATTCTGATAGTTAATTTACACATATCATAGACACACATATGGATAAGAAGTTTCTGAGAGGGTTAGAGAAATGGCTCAACAGTGAGAACACTAGCTGCTCTTCCAGAAGACCTAGGCTAATTTTTTGGCAGCCATCTGTCTTGGGTTATTGGACATGCACTTCTGTTCCCCACAGACACTGCACTCAGGTGGTGCCTAGACGTGCCTGTAGGCAAAACACCCATACACATAAAAGAAAAACAAACATTCTGGGAAACACTAACATAAGTAATGGGATGTAGTGCATAGAAAACATGAATTTTTCTACTTTGATCCCTTACTAATTAAAGAAATTTGAAATACCTATTATGCATTTATTACTAATTAGTCTTGATCTTTCATTAGTGTGTATTTACAAATAAAAGTTAAAAAGTTCTGTAAATTTACTTAGCACTTAATTTTTTTAATGTATTGTTTGATGGTTGTTTTAGTGTATGTAATTCTTAGTTTACATTCAACTAATGGAGAAGTCAGATTTATACTTATTAAATAAACATCTGAAATTTTTGTCATGTAGATTTTTTATATGCTATTTTATGAACATACTTCTAATAATTATAACAGATTTTTGCAGCATTCCCATTGTATTCTATGTGGCAATACCTTTGCATTTATTTGCATGTTTTATTTTCCTAATTTCATTTTATAAAAATCCCCAGGAAACAGAAAATTAGAACTAACAATGATCCTAAGAATTGAACATTGGAATATTAAATAGGTGTATTATGAAATATCTGTTCAAATGGGAATTGTAATCATAATCAGTACTTTCTTTTAGCTTTCTTCAAACAATTCTTTCTTCTCTCCCCAATTCATAAATTATAAGTCTAGTTTTTATAATAGATTTTGAGTACTGATTCATAAATTATAAATCTAGTTTTTATAATAGATTTTGAGTACTGAGTATATCAGTGATGGATTTAATAAACATTTTGAGCTTCAATCAATATTTATACTTCTTTTGTTTTGTTTTTTGTTTTTTTTTTTTTTTAAGACAAGGTTTCTCTGTGTAACACCTGGTTCTCTTGAAACTCATTCTGTACATCCTGGCGTATTTATACTTCTTAAATTTACCATTACACAATTCTTAATATACTATCTTACCTGTATGGGATAAGATACACTTTTTGACCTGATCATTCTTCAAATTTATTCATAATTCATTAGACTAGAACTTTTTCCTGCCCTTGTTATTCTGTACCTTCTTTAGCTTGCATTGAAAATCTAGCAACAGTATATGAATTGTTCTAGTTGCTTTTTAGCATGCTGTTTAGTGTTTTACTCAGTAAAGAAGTTTTTCTTATCCCTTACCACTTTTTAATTTAATGATGCCAGTGAATTTATTAATATATTTAAAAAATAAACCAAGCTATAATTTTTTTGCTATTTTTTAAGACTATCAACTCAAAGCTCAGTATCCTATAATTAACTGTATTCTTTTTCCCATATATGTCAGTTGCCCATATTCAGCATTTGAAGCAAATTAGAAAGGTGACAAAGCTTGAAGTGGTTATAAACTTAGGAAATAACAAAATGAAGAAAATATTTTGAGCTTTTGACCTTTCTTCCTATGCACCAATGGACTGTTTTCAAGTTGATTGTTATGTGACAAGTGGATTGTGTATAAAGATCCAGCTCAGTGGTTGGACCAAGAACAAGCTCCACTGCACTCCCCAAATCCAAACTCAGACCCAGAAAAGCTCAGGGTCAGTTTGTTGGTCTGTTACTAATGTGATCTGTTGTTGCTTTCTGGATCCTAGCAAAACTCTGACATTTGAGAAAGTGCTCAACAACCTGATGAGATGTATACCAAAAGCTGCAGTGTCTGCAGCTGGCACAGGTCAATGGGAAGGTTCCCTGTTTTTTATTACCCCTACACATGTTACACAGGAACACTTGAATACTTGAGCAAATTGAGCTGCAACGCTTGCCTCACCCACTATTTTCACCTGGCCTCTTGCCAACCAGCTGCCACCTTTTCAAGCATCTTGACAAATTATTGGAAGGAAAACACTTCCACACCCAGCAGAATGGAGAAGTTTGTATAGTCCCAGAACACAGATTTTAACACTGTAGGGATAAACATGACCCCAAAATGTGTTGATTGTAATGGTTCTTATTTTTCTTGATTAAAAAAATGTTTGGACTAAAAATTCATTGTCCAAAGCCACAGTTCTCTTTTCACCAACCTAATATTTCAATTTTTGAAACTGAAGATTTGTTTAAACCCCTTCTACTTTATTAATGAAATATATTTGTATTACTTTGGTAATTTGTTTAACTTAGATATTTTTGACACACTTTTTCATTTTCCTTTTAAGATTTACTGCTAGACCACTAGTGGAAACGATATTTGAAAGGGGAATGGCTACGTGCTTTGCTTATGGGCAGACTGGAAGTGGAAAAACTCATGTAAGTGTTTAAGTTGTATCCTGCTATGGTGCTACAGTCTCCCTCTTACAGCTTAATTATAAGGCCTAAATTCTTCTGGGTTTGTAAGTGTCCATGTAGAGGCCATAGTACAACATCAGCTATCACTCTTCTGATGTCATCACTTTGTTTTTGAGACAGTTTCTCGCTGGCCTGGAGCTACCATGTAAGCCAGGCTGGCTGTCCAGGAAACTTCAAGCATCTGCTTGTCTTCACCTTTCCAACTCTAGGTTATAATCATGTACTACGGTGCTTGCATTATTTTACATGGGTTCCTGGAGGTAGAATGCAGGTCCTTTTATTTGTGTGGTAAGCACTTTATGAACTGAGTTAGCACCCCAAACCTAAGAACTAAATTCTTAAAATTTATTCCTGAATAAACTCTATTATTCTTTATTTTTCTTCCCAAATGTAGACTATGGGTGGTGACTTTTCAGGAAAGAACCAGGATTGTTCTAAGGGAATTTACGCATTAGCAGGTAAGTGTCCTTTGTGTGTATAGTTTATGATATTCTTGAATATTGTTCAGGTGTTTTTGAATAAGACTTTTTATCATCCAGCAATACAGTGTACATTTTCAGATTAGTTGAAAAGGAATGTGAGGTCATAGTAGCACCACCTGTAGTCCTAGTACTTATGAGATGGAGACAAGACCATTGAGTTCGCAGTCATCACCTATATAGCAAATTTAAGGCCAACCTTGGTTATCTGAGATCCGTTCTCAAAAGAAAAAAAAGTCATAAAAAAAGTACAAAATTAAACTCTTGGTAACAAAACAAACAAAAACGAAAACAAACAAACAAACAAAATAAAACCATGGGCCGTAGAGATGGCTTAGAGGTTAAGAGCATTGACTGCTCTTCCAGAGGTCCTGAGTTCAATTCCCGGCAACCGCATGGTAGCTCACAACCATCTATAATGAATCTGGTGCCCTCTTCTGGTGTGCAGAAATACATACAGGCAGAACATTGTATTTATAACAAAGTTTTTACAAAATCCTACATATATTGGGTCATTGTAATGTGGCAAACTTAGATTACTATAAATTATGCAATGGCTAATTGTTACTGGATCATACCCCCAGCCCCAGGTTTTGAGATAGAGGCTCCAGCCTGTGTTCCAGGCTGACCACAGTCTTGCTGTATAGCTGAAGATAGCCTTGAATGTCTAATACCTAATATTAACTGATTCTTCTAAAAATAGAAAAGATGTGTTATGTGTTGCATTTTAACGAACTTCATGTGTGAAATTTTTGACAGCTCGAGATGTCTTTTTAATGCTGAAGAAACCAAACTATAAGAAACTAGAACTTCAAGTATATGCAACATTTTTTGAAATTTATAGTGGAAAGGTATGTGAGACATTTTATTGTTCTTTTGTGTGAGGAAGTATGTGAGTGCATGCAAGTGCATGCATGTATATGGGTGCATGTGTGTAGGTGGGTGTCTGTGCATCTACACGTATGTACATGTAGGGGCCAGCAATAGGCCTTGTGTTGTTTCTCAGGACTTAATCCTTGTATTTTGGGGACAGGGACTTTCACTGTGGCCTGCAGCTGATCCATTAGTAAAGGCTAGCTTGCCATCATGCCCCAGGGTCTCCACTTCCCCAGTGCTGTGATTATTTGGGATCAAGCTCAGGTCCCTGTATTTTTTTGGCAAGATTTTACAACTGAGTTGTCTTCCAATCCCCAGACCTTCTTTTAAAAAATGTGGTAATATAAGTGTGTATATACATGTGTGTGTTATACAGTAGCCATTTTAAATGTACAATTTAGTAGCATTTAATATATTTGCTTTGTTTTATGACCTCCACTACAAGATTTATGTGCTTGTAAATATAATAATTGATGTCTTGAGACTTTTAAATGTCTTTTCAAGCTTTCAGTGTTGAACATTGTTCTAAGAATAGTAGTTTTATTATTTTTAGGCTCACTTTTATAGATCTGTTTTTTTTAAAGCTAGTTTTCTAATTTGAATATGGTTTTCTGTAGGTGTTTGACTTATTAAATAGGAAAACAAAATTAAGAGTACTTGAAGATGGAAAACAGCAGGTGCAAGTGGTAGGATTACAGGAACGGGAGGTCAAATGTGTGGAAGATGTATTGAAACTCATTGACATAGGCAACAGTTGCAGGTAAGTCTTAAGGGAAGCTCCTGTTTCAGGTCCTGTGGGTGGAGCATACCTGCAGAGCAAAGATCTTAAGGGAAAATATTATGCTTAAAATGTACAGAAACATTTTGATGTGTCACTATGTCCTTAATCACACTATAGAACATCCGGTCAAACGTCTGCAAATGCACACTCATCTCGGAGTCATGCAGTGTTTCAGATCATTCTTAGAAGGAAGGGAAAACTACATGGCAAATTTTCTCTCATTGATTTGGCTGGGAATGAAAGAGGAGCAGATACATCAAGTGCAGACAGGCAAACCAGACTTGAAGGTGCTGAAATTAATAAAAGCCTTTTAGCACTCAAGGTAAGTAAAATTTTAACTATGAATGGTCTTTTACTTTTGACTTTAACTTTGCTTACTCAGTTGTAAAAATAGAGGTTTACAAACTTTAATTGTCACATATGAAGTTACATATTTTATTGTACATAGAATTTTTTCCATGTACACATTTTCCCTTGTTTTTAAACAAATTAAAGGAAATGATTTTACAGACCCATTCTTAGGCTGCTTATTCAGATACTAAAGGACCATAATCAGCCAGGCTTTCTTCAGGGGTCCCAAGCAACTGTGGAATTAGGCTAAGAAATGTTGCTTTTTTATTTATTTTTTTCTTGTCTGTGACTCCAGACAGGATCCAAAGAGCCTCGTTCAGTCTCCTCCCTGGGTTTGGTGGAGAGTTCCTTCATCCTGCTGTTAAAGTTAGATCCTTAAAGCGCCACGGTACTTTAAAGGGACAGGAGAGGGCAGAAATGATGTCTTAAAACAGTGTTCAAAAAACAAAACTGACAAACAAATGTTAGTCCAAAATGATTTACTTTAAAGGATTCTTACATTTTCCTCCTTAACTAGAAAATCAGGAGTTGGGAGGATTACAATATAACAGCTGTAGCTTTTGGGATTCCATTTTACAAACTCAACTTCTTACAGCTTTCTTGTTGCCTGAACTTTTAAACAATAGTCATATTTTGGGGATTTTGTTGTTGTTTTAGAATAATTAAGGTTTGTTTTTGTTGTTACTCATTTTCTTGGGCTAATATTTATGACACCATTGTTGTATAAAAGTTAGAATTTTTAGAGCTCATTAGTTCTCTTAGAAGTTAGCAAGTAAGAAACCTTAAAATGACTGTAATAAAATCTAATTAATAAGAAACATTTTCTTAATTTTTAGGAGTGCATCAGAGCCTTAGGTAGAAATAAACCTCACACTCCTTTCCGAGCAAGTAAACTCACTCAGGTGTTGAGAGATTCATTCATAGGTGAAAATTCTCGTACTTGCATGGTAAGCTGTGTTTTTTTATTGTTTTGCTTTTGTTTTTATCCTGAAGGGATAAATAGAAAATATCTATGGAAATTTTAGGTGTTTGCTAATTGTAATTAATTACCCTTCTATTGTGAGAAATTATGCTATTTTAAAATGGGGTCCCTGCCAATTTGGTGGGAAATAATGTAGTGCAGCTATAATGCTTTTTAATTCTAATGTTTGAATACTTCATAGAAACTTGGATTTTCTTTTTGTGATTTGTTGTTATTGTAGCATATGTTAACTTATTCCCAAGTTCTTATTTTTCCCAGGTAGGGATGGAAACAAGTGTCTTTTCATGCACTTCACTGTGTTGCTTAAAATTGGTTGTGTTTATGGCAAGCTAGGTGATCAACCAAAGATTTGTGTAATGTTGTATACAATTTAAGTTTCTTCCCCAAGTCTTCTGCTCTTTCTTATAAGACAGTTTACCTTTTCCAGCTGCTAGGCTCTCCAATCCCAAACTGCCTTTCAGTTTCTTAACCAGGATCTCTAGTTTCTAGGGAGACTTCAGTGGTCCTGTGGGACATTGTCTCTGGCAGAACATTATGTCATTAGTAATAGTAAATAGGTGGAGGGGCAGTCTGTGTTGTTCCTTTTTCTAAATGTTTGCCCTCATTTTGTGCTGGATTTTTATTGACTTTCTGGGACCTTCAGAAAATCTTTTTTTATTTTTAACTGGGTTTTATAGTGCTTACAAGCATACTAGGTAGGTAGATTTTAGAGGTCAGATAGCAGTACAAACATTTTAAAGTAGATTGTAAGATTAGACCTTATTGAACTATTTGTTAGGATTATTGTCTTGATCATTTATGATTTTATCTTTGCTCCCACCCCCACCCCCTTTTAGATTGCCACAATCTCTCCAGGAATGGCATCTTGCGAAAATACTCTTAATACGTTAAGATATGCAAATAGGTATGAAAACTATTCCTACATTGTAAAATTTGAAATCTAACATATTAGATGTATGCTGGGGGGAAACATGTCTGTAGTTGTAACACGTGATGATACTGAGGCAGAAGGATCACAAGTTCTAAGCTGTTCTGGCCTCCAACATGAGATACTATTATCACAGCAAAAAACCTAATAGGGCAAATTTATCACATTTGTTTTTTAAATTTGCAGTATGAAATTTTATATGTCTATAAGATATTATTTAGAATTGTTTTGTTAAATTGAAAAGTGTATAATTAGATAAGATTGACATCTTTATTAAAATTAACTTTATCCTAGAACATGATTATGTTTTTCCATTTCAACAAGTTATAATTCATAATATTCTACATTTCAATGATTGAAATCCTCATATTATCAAGTGAAGTGGTAATTAGGGAGTTAATTTCTTAAATTGTTATGCTCTACGCTGGAATTATTCCTCATGATGCTCAATTAAATATACACACATATACATATACCATTTAAGTGATAACAGTTCTCTCTGGTACTGTGTATGGATTATATGTTGTTATCACATCAGTAATGTTTCCAACTTCAGTAATGAACAATTTTATCCAGTTGTTACATCTGGATAAAATGCACTAAGAACTAACTAAGAGTTTGTACCTTACATAGTTTCAGATGTCCTTGGAACTCTCAGTTAGGGTGCCATGTTTTTTTTTTGTAGATCCCTACACACACACTTGTTTTGAATGATTGTTTACATATTCTAAATAATGTGTTTGTATTTGAGAATCTCATACATTGTATATAATATTTTCATGAAACTAACACACACTATTTCCCCTAGCTCATCTTGGTATACTCTCTTCCCTTGAAGTTTTATATGTCTTACCATATTACACTTAATGATTTTAACCTACACATTATTCTTTATAACCACTTCTAGTGTGGAGACTGTCTTAATCTTCAAAAATATATTTTTCTTGTTCCAATCAAAATGGAGACTTTATTTTCTATCTTGTTAAGAATAAGAACTTCAGGCTGGAGAGATGGCTCAGAGGTTAAGAGCACTGGCTTCTCTTCCAGTTCAATTCCCAGCAACCACATGGTGGCTCATAGTCATCTATAATAAGATCTGGTGCCGTCTTCTGGTGTGCAGGTAGAACACTGTATACATAATAAATAAGTAAATCTTTAAAAAAAATTTAAGAAGAAGAAAAGAAAAAGAAAAAAAAAATCAGAACTTTACCTGTGTAGAAAAGTACCTAAAAACAAGCAAGTAGACATGACTGAGTGGATAAAGGTACCTGCCAGGGTTCCACCCTCACATCCATGGTAGAAGAACAAAGCCCATTCTGCAAAGTTGTCCTTTGACTTGCACATGCACTGAGGTATGTACAATACATGAGTTGATAATAATTTTTTTTAAAAATTAAGTACCTAAAAACAAGTAAGCATTTAATTCCTGTAATGTTTACTATCATTTAGAAATCTCTTCAGTGAAAAAGAAGAGTCTGGGAAACAACCTCCCTAGGAGGTCTAATGTGTTCCTTCCATTGGCAGGTTCTAAATTGTCAACTGATTGCTTTAAAATAATTCTCTTGTTCTCCTTTTTAACTTTTTAAAAAGATTGTCTTCATACCTACAAATGTATCTTTGAGCATCCTTTTAATCCTTTATATTGTGCTTATGTTTCACTTGAAAAGATTTTTGTATGATAGCAAACATTGCTAGGAAGCACTAACCAATTTGCCTAGGGATGTATGTAGCTCAGTGTTCATGTTTGCCAAGCATGAAGTAGGTCCTGGGTTCTATTCTTATTCCCTGGGTGGGTTGTTGGGGGGGGGGTCTACAAAAATACAAAATATGATAGCGACTTAAAAATGTACTAGAGCTTTAAATAGGTTCAACTCTTAAAGTTTGGATTATGAGCTCTTAGCTACAGACATTAATATTATTGTCTTTTAATTATTTTTTTTTAGTATGTTGAGAGTTTTTAAAAATCATTTTAGGGTGCTTTGTTTTCCCAAAGTTACTCATGGAGGGGTTGGGAATAACTTTCTGTGGTAGATTCTTATTATAGAATCAAAAAACTGTTTTTGTATTATATATCTAATAGAATTAAAGCAAACCCTTCCATGTCTTAAAACTTTAGGCAATAAAGATTCCTGCTGACATGAAACTAGTATATAGATTGAGATCACAAGTTTTTGAGATTTTGACTATTTGGACCAATAGTTTGAGTTAATGATGATACTATACAAACCAGACTGGCCTCACAACTCACTGTCTATCTAAGGATGGCCTAAATTCCTCATCTTCTTGTCTCACCTCCCATTTGCTGAATAGAGGTGTACACCACCATGCTTGGCTAAATATGTCAGGTTTTTTTTTTTCTTATTACATATTGTCATACTAGAGATTGAACTAGGGCCTTGACCATTCTAGACAAGTGCTCTATAATTGAGCTACATCCCCAGCCTGTAAATTATTTCTTGAAGAAGTGTTTGCTTTTTAAGATGTAACATGTCACTGGAAGAGTGTTCTTAAGACAGAGTAGGCATAATACCTGCCTCAATGTGCTCTGGTCTCCTTATCTTTAGAATGATGAGATCAATGGTCATACATGCCTTAAAGGACAGTTTTGAGAATTGAGAGAAATAATCTTTATTAACTATTGAGCCTAGCCCTTGGAAATTATTTTTTAATCTGTATTTTAATGGAAACTGTATATTTTAGGAGTGTTTTTATAGGAGTTGGGGTAGTTTGTAATAATGCATTTTGATGTTAAATGATTAAGATGAAAAGTCCAATTCAGTCAATAAAATTGAGATATACTGTCAGGTGTGTGGCACCTGCCTACAAGCCTGGCATGTCAGAGGTGAATGTGGAGGATCAGGAGTCAGGAGTTTAAGGTCATCATTAACTATACAGCAAGTTGCCAGATACCCTGGGCTATCTTGTTTAGAGAGGGGGGGGAGGGGGAGGGGAGAGAGAGAGAGAGAGAGAGAGAGAGAGAGAGAGAGAGAGAGAGAGAGAGAGAGAGAGGAAGAAAGGAGAAGAAAGGTTATTGTTCCAAGAAGTAAAGCTGTATTCAGTGCTTGTGAAACAGAGTTTTCTGAAGCAGTAGATGTGACCTGGTTAAAGGAAGAGGTTAGTGTGATTGAAACAGAATAGTTACTGAAATTTTTTTAAAGTATCATTTTAGGAAGATGATTCCTGTACATGGTACCTGCACTTGCATAAGAGGGTATGTAATAGGAAGAACTTTTGTGGGAATACTAATGGTGCTTCTCAATGACGAGATTCTGAAGCATGGAAGAAACAGGCGTAGGAGTCACAAAGTTAATTTCCATATCAGAATTTAGATTTTCAGAATTTAAGAATCAAGGGGCAGAGGCTTGACTTAGTGACATGGGCTTATAGTTCTAGCACGCAGGAGGTTGAGGCAGGAGGATCTCCAGGTCAGCTGCTGTCCCATGCCTTCAGTAAAAGGGTGAAGATGGATAATCTGATACTAAACCTTCAACAGTGAATAGATTGCAGATAGTGTGTGTGTGTGTGTGTGTGTGTGTGTGTGTATGTGTGTTTTCATTTGATCTCTATGAAATTAATGATGTTTGACTGAGGTTTGGCTTGTAAAGGAAGGCATTTCATTTAGTAGTTCCACCTAAGAAAAATAGAATTCAGATAGCATCTTAAGTGACATAGAAATGATTTGAACTTGAGTAAACTTGTACTTTAGTTACACCACATTCTTTCTAAATAACCTCAAATGAGATACTTTATCATCTGTGAAATGAAGGTATCATAAGATTCTTAACAGGTTTATATAATATAATGCCTAGATGTTACTAATTCTAGTACTTGATAAATATTGCCTGTTATAAAATGTCACATAAGGCAAGATAAGAAAAGTTATAATTCAGTTATGTGTAACTGTTGTCATTAGCAAAAACATTTTAAAACTGTATTTCTAGATGCTGTTTACCATCCACATTTATAATCAACATCTCCAACCACAAAAACTTCAGTGTCTTTATTTTCTCCATCATATGGAGGAGGCTTTTCCAGCTAATAAAATTCTAGATGGATAAGCTAACCTTAACTCATTAAAAACAGGACGTGCCTTAAGGCATTAGAATTTCATTTTCATATCTGGTTTGAGAAGAACTGCAAAAATGGTTGAGGACTCAGGGTTGGGGAGATGGCTCAGGTGGCAGAATGCTTGCTGCTCAAGTATGAAAACTTGAGGTTGGACCCCCAACATGTATGTAAAAAGGCTGAGCAGAGGAGCACACACCTGTAATCCCCGAGCTGGGACTGTGAGGGCAGGAGGAAAACTAGACAGCTAGTCTAGCCAAATTGCTGAGCAATAGGCTTGGTTAAAAGACCTGGTCTCAGAAAATAAAATGAACAGACGTTGAGGAAGACATTGAACATCAGCTTTTGACATCCACATACACGTACATGTGTATGACACACACATACATGCACATACAATATTGATTAATTGATAAAAATGCCAATATCCATTAAATCTGGTTGGTTTTAATGAATTAATGGTTTAAATTTAATTAAATTTAAATTTAATAGTTTAATGATTAGATTGAGTAGGTCATGTAGTTAAAGCAAGGGACCTTCAGATTTGGGTAGTAAGTAACCTTGCCTTTAAGTTTCTAGGAAGATTTGTGAGAAAAGAGAGAAGTAAACTAGAAAGGAAAGATTTAGGATTTTTGAGTTAGGGTAGCAATAAAACATGTTTGGAAACCTATTTATGAAGTAATATTCTAAAACACACTCATAACAATGTTGATACTCTTTTCTAAACAAAAGCTGAACTGCATTGCCGTCATTATCAAGAGCTCTTTTAATTCTCACTGTTTTGGTACTGCAGAGTAAAGGAGTTTGGAATTAGTCCTTCAGACATTCCCTTCTCCCAGGGTAGTGGCAGTCGCCCTGATCTCTCTCCTTCTTACGATTATGACGACTTTTCTCCTTCGATTACCAGGTCTTGCTTCCTTTCTTTGACTAGCTTGTTTTGCATTGTGCTGCACATAGATGTTCATGTATTTCTTTTGTTCTAAGCCATTTTTCATTTTCACTTCATTTAGCAGGTGGTGGTTGTACTGCATGATCTGTATTTTATGTCCTTTATTTGCTTTAAAAGATGTATTTACAATTTAAGCTCCATATTTCCCTTTATTTTTTAAAAGATGATGTCACTTTTGTATATTTATCTTTATTATGTGATAAAAATTGTCTGCAAGAAAATAACCACTTTTGTGATTCAAAAAACATATCCTTTTTTAAATGTATGAACTTAAGATGCACAGCTTTCAAACATGACAGAAGTTAAGATTCTTACAATCTTTAGGCATTAGAGATAAAAATGACTGGCTGGTCATGGTGCACAAGCCTTTAATCCCAGCACTCAGGAGGTAGAAGCAAGCAAATCAACCTAATCTGCACATTGAGTTCCAGGCCATCCAGGATACATAGTGAGACCCTGTCTCAATAAGTAAGTAACATAAGATTATTTCTTGCTTAGCTAGCTGAGCAGTGTGACTGCTGAAGCCTTCATAGAATATAAACTCCCCTGATTTCAGCAGTGTTTTCTTTATGGATCTTAATTTTTCTATCATAAAATGTAATTGCAATTATAATTCATTTCTTGGAAATATTTAATCTGTATACTTTGCTAAGTTTCCTTGATGATGAGCAATAATTACACTTGAATAAGTATAAAGTTGTTTAAGTAAACTTGAATTAAACAAATCCAGCGTTCAGATAAATTTGACGTATAAAGTGACATCATCGATCATACTATGTTAATTGAATTGCTTTTCTATCAAATAGGTTGGTGTTTTCTTGTATCTCTGTATGAGTCTTTCATCATTTGAGATAACTTTTATATATTTATAGGGTGAAAGAATTGACTGTAGATCCAACTGCTGCTGGTGATGTCCGTCCAATAATGCACCATCCACCAAGCCAGATTGATGACTTAGAGACACAGTGGGGTGTGGGGAGTTCCCCTCAGAGAGATGATCTAAAACTTCTTTGTGAACAAAATGTGAGTGACATAATATCACTGTTACTGGTCCAGCTTAGTTTGTTTCACCAATAACAGAACTTAGTTGAACACTATAAAGCAGGGATCATCATGCCCACTTTGAACTAATCGCCTATTCAGATAAATACAGCTTTACTGAAATATAGCCATGCTTTTCTAATGGCTTTCTCAACCACAGTAGCAGTGACGGAATACATGGCTCATGAATCTAAACTAATTTCCTGGCTTACTAGCCCTCTGATAGTAGCCTCTTTGTTTTTCAGATTTTATGCCTACATTAAAATTTTAGTGCTGTGCAATAGTGGCACATGCCTTCAATTCCAGCACTCAGGAGACAGAGGCAAGTGGAACTTTGTGAGTTTGAGGCCACCTGGTTTACAGAGCAAGTTCCAGGACAGCCAAGGTTACACAGAGAAACACTGTCTCGAAAACCAAAACTAAACAAATTTTAGTGACTAAGTAGTTTAAGATTACTTCTAAGTACACATGTAACTTTAAAAAACAAAACTGTCAACAGTTCTGGGCAATGGTAGCACATGCCTTTAATCCCAGTGGTCAAGGCTGATCTCTGAGTTCAAGACCAGCCTGGTCTACAGAGCAGGCTCCAGAATAGTCAGGACTACACAGAGAAACCCTATCTCAAAACAAACAAAACAATCTGTCAACATAATTATATGCATTAAACAGATAAAGGAATTGTATTAAAAATCACAGTGAGCCTTAGAAGCACCTCAAAACAAAAAGAGAAACAAAACCCTAATAAAAATGCCAGCATCCACTAACTCTGGTTGTTTTGTTATATTTGAAATGTCTTTAAAAAATTTTGTAGATTGCAAATTACAACTATTTAGTTATTTTTAAAATAAATATTTATAATGCAGGGATAGGCAAGTGTAAAGATGCATATGATCTGGGCATGTAGCACAAATCTGAGAGGCAGGAGGATTGATGCAAATTTGAGGCCACAGTAAGTTCCTGGCTAGCAATGGCTACTGTGTAATAGCTTGTCAAGAAAAAACAAGGTGGAGAGATTGGGCAGATGACTCCGTTGGTAAAGAGCTTGTTGTCCAAGTGAAGGAACATAGAAGACAAAGAACTAGATCCTAGCTTCAGTCTGTCCTTCCTAAGTTGTGAAAGATAGTTGTTCCTAGACTCTCAAAGCAAATCTTGAACTATGCCTAGATAATAATACTCCCATAGATAACAGAAAACTACAGTAAGAGAAGCACCTTCTACAGCATATCTTTGCATTTATTATATTTTACTAGACCTACACAGGCCACAATTTCTTTCTTTTTTTTTTTAAGATTTATTTTTATGTGAATGTGTGTTTGCTTACATGTATTTCTGTACACCATGTATGAGCATTGCTGAAGGAAGCCAGAACAGGACACTGGAGTTACAAGTGGTTGTGAGCCACCATCTGGGTGCTAGGAACCAAACCTTCCTTTGGAAAGGCAGCCAGTGCTCTTAACCATGGAGCTATCTCTAGTACCAAGCCAGGATTTTAAATTACATTAGTTTTTACAAACTCCATATTAGAGAGTGCAACTCTTTCAGCTTCGCTACCACCACGGAACTTATCTTGATATTATTCAGCAGCATTGTTACATTAAATGATAGTGCATGTCTCTTCTCAGTGAGAGAGACTGAAAGGGAATAAAATCTAAAACATATCCCTGAGATATAACTAAAATAAGTAGATGATTAATGCAGTGTAGTAGAATTACAAAAATTTATTTCTAGAGATAAGCAGTTTTGGAAGTAAACTATATGGAATGCAGGTTTGCATAGTTTCATATTCAAAGGAAAGAGAATATTATGGGCCTGAAGAGGAAGCAGCTAGGAAAAAAAAAAGTGTTTAGTGTATATTCATGAGAGAGAATGAGAAAATTTTACATGTCCTATTAAAAAGCAGATGCTTTTTTTCCCATAGAAAAGATGAAAAATTCTTTACTAACCTTATTGTGAAAACTTTTAAGTATGATAGCTTATTGATGAAAGTCAAATTGTCTACTTAACTTTTTATGCACTTAGAGTCTTGAATGACTTTTGGAGGTTTTGTTTGTAATTTTCATTTTTCAAGACAGGATTTTTCTGTGTATCCCTGGCTATCTGTAGACCAGGCTCGCCTCAAACTTAGAAATTCGCCTGCCTCCTTAGTGCTGGGATTAAAGGTGTGCATCACCACCACCCAGCTTGTTACAACAGTGTATAAGTAGATTTCTACATAGTTGTCTTTGTCCCTAAGCCATATTTTGAGAAAACAATGAGTTAATAGAACTGGCTTAGGCAGGAGACTATAAAAGTAAAGCTAAGCCAGATAGATTTGAGTTGATGTAACAACCAAAACATGCATGTCTGTGCTGTCATATTTTTTTGTTGAAGTACAATTATGATTTATTATTTGAGATTTCTATAAAAAACTAACTGGCTCCTTAGCCATGGTTGCACACACCTGTATTCTCAGCATTTGGGAGGCTGCAAGCAGCCTGGCCTCCATAGTATCAGGCTAGCTGGGGCTACAGAGTAAGACTGTGCCTGCCCCCAAAAAGAAAAATCAAAGTGTAATCTCTGTGCAGTTGTTATATGCATCGTAAAGTTATGTATCTTTGAGGTAAATTATTAATGAAGAGAAGCCAGTGCCAACTAGCCAAACCTGAAATAAGCTTACATTAACTGAAAAGTTGGACTGTTCCAAAAGACAGTGCTTTTTAGAGTAAAAGTCTATATATAATATTAATAAATTCCTAAGTGAAAATGACTTCTTGCTTGTGAATTGGTTGCCTTACACATACACACACCCTTCCAGGGTCTCTCTGTGTAGCTTTGGAGCCTATCCGGAAACTCTGTGCTGTAGACTAGGCTGGCCTGGAACTCACAGGTTCACCTGCCTCTGCCTACCAAGATTAAAGGTGTGTGCCACCACCACGAAGCATGGTTGCCTTACTTAGACTTACATTAAAATGGCCCTTTACAAGGACTTTACCAAACTGCTTTTGAGGCTGGGCTTGTAGTTCAGGGTAGAACACATACCTGTTTTTAAAAGCACATGAGATCTTGGGTGGGTTCCCAAGGAGGGAAAGAAAATACAAACAACTTCAGTGACATTTAAAAATACGTGTTTTTTTTGGGGGGGGGGGTTCGAGACAGGGTTTCTCTGTGTCTTTGGAAGCTGTCCTGGAACTAGCTCTTGTAGACCAGGCTGGTCTCGAACTCACAGAGATCCACCTGCCTCTGCTTCCCGAGTGCTGGGATTAAAGGCGTGAGCCACCAATGCCTGGCTTAAAAATACATGTTTTAAAACTTTATGTTTTAAGGAAGAAGAAGTTTCTCCACAACTATTTACTTTCCATGAAGCTGTCTCCCAGATGGTAGAAATGGAAGAACAGGTTGTAGAGGATCACAGAGCAGTGTTCCAGGTATGTAAGAAAAATTACAAGTTCTGGTAAACAGGCCTTACATTAATCAAAATTTCAAGAATTCTTTGATTAGGACACAATTTTTTTAAAATTACTTAGTTGTATATTTGTAGGGCATATGCTAACAAATATCTCCCTGTAGTATTTTCATTTTTCATTTAATGATCAAGTCTGAGGATGTAGTTCAGTGATCAAATGCTTGCCTGCTATTCACAAAGCATGCTGGGATTCATCCCTGGTCCTCCAAAAAAGTTTATGAAAATATTTGATTTTACTATGAATAGAGGTGTCATGTCTACTGATATTTTTGAGAGTGTCATCCTAAGTTGTTTGACTTAGAACTCACAATTTGTAGGTCAGGCTACTCTGATAAGTATTTGTAAAGCATACAAGTCATTTGTGTTGAATTTTTATTATTAGGAATCCATTCGCTGGATAGAAGATGAAAAGGCTCTCCTAGAGATGACTGAAGAAGTAGACTATGATGTGGACTCATATGCTACACAACTTGAAGCTATTCTTGAACAGAAAATAGACATTTTAACTGAGCTACGAGGTAATTTATTTTTCATCACTGTGTTTGTTATGAAATTTGCATGTGTAGTGATGAAAAGGGTTTGTATGAGGAAGACATATGAAATGAAGATTATTATAGACAATTTTAGCACTTTTGTTCAAAGTAAATAAATACAATCCAATCTTTTCTTAAATGTTTCTCTTAAAACAACAAAAATTGAAAACATCTGGGGATGGCGCAGTGGGTAAGTGCTTTTTTTTGTAAGTTTGGATCCCCTCAACCCATGTAAAGGTTAATGCAGTCACACACATCTGTAGTTTCAGTCTTCCTGTGGTAAGGTGTGAGTTAGAGACAGAAAAATTCTGGAAGCTCCAGCTACTCTAGGTTAGCAGTGGCATACAGAGACCTTCTCTTAACATTATGGCTGCAAAGGAGAATTCCTGGCAAGAAGCTGTGTGCAGAGGCTGCTTGCTTAACATCTCAGTGATGTGGAGAAGTTGAAATGTTGCAGAGCCCAAGCCTAGTGACAGTTTCTCTAAGCCCCAGTGAAGAGCCACTCCTAGCCCACTTCTGTGTTTGCTGTGACACCCTATGCCTAGCAGATAAAGGTAGACCTAACATCCTGATAAACATAGAAGACCTTTCACAGTGCATTAGCAAAAGCTTATTCTCCACTGATCCAAGGATTGTTATCAGATTATCAGATAGCATCTGAGGCTGACAGCTGAGGTTTCTCCATGGTTGAAACCTGCCTCTCAGATGTTTCCATCATTGCATTTAAAAATGCCTTTCTTTGTGACTTTCTTTTGTTCAGTTACTATAAAACCTTCATTAAACATGGGATTTGGGGTAAACTAAATCTGTGTTCCTAAGGCCATTGCCACTCCTAGGTGGCTCCACAGTATGCTGTCTCCTACCTCCCTTGAAAAAGGCAAGGGAAGTGTTCCTCTGAACACTACATACGGCATGCCTGTGCTCACATGAACATGCACATAGGCACACTGTACATCATCCATACACAAAGATTCATAAAAATTACCATTTTCTATTGTCTATAGTCACATTTCATAATTGACTTTTTAAAAAAATATTTTGACTTTTTTTTAAGATTTTTTAATTTATTTATTATATATACAACATTCTGCTTCCATGTATATCTGCACACCAGAAGAGGGCACCAGGTCTCATAACGGATGGCTGTGAGCCACCATATGGTTGCTGGGAATTGAACTCAGGACCTATGGAAGAGCAGTCAGTGTTCGTAACCTCTGAGCCATCTCTCCAGCCCCCATAATTGACTTTTTGCCTATTCTGTGTACCTTTAAAAATACCTTGTATTGGCCGGGCGTTGGTGGCGCACACCTTTAATCCCAGCAGAGGCAGGTGGATCTCTGTGAGTTCAAGGCCAGCCTGGTCTCCAGAGCGAGTGCCAGGATAGGCTCCAAAGCTACACAGAGAAACCGTCTCAAGAAAAAAAAAAAAAACCTTGTATTGATTTTGCTCCTGCTTCTTTGGGTGTTTCTGTGTGTGTGGACTCATAATTCAATATGAAGTCAGGTTGAAATTCCTACTTTTTGCCACAGATTTCCTGCTTAAGTTTTTAAAGCAAGCCCTTCATGATTTGATATCATGTACAATAAGGTCATTAGTGACTTTTAAAAAGTTACCTTTGTTTTTAATGTTTTTCATATTCAAGCCTTGATTTGAATTTGGGGGTTGTTTTTCTAATAACTTACAATTGGTCATGGCTCTGTGTATATGTAGACACATGTAGGTGTCAGAGGTTGATGTCACGCCTCTTAACTTGTTGAGAGGTTCTCACTGAAGCTAAACCTTACCAAGTTAAGCTAGACTGGCTGGCTACCAAGTACTGGAGTCAGTCCTGTGTCTCCCTACCCAGTGTTGGGATTCTGGTTTTATTACATGGGTTCTGGAGCCTGAACTCCTTTGTGCTTGTACTTTACTATCTTTTCAGATCCATAGTCACCATTAATGTATTCACCTAATATATTCTAATATATTCTAATTTTTTCCTTGGAAATATGAACATTCAATTTAAGTGACTCCTTTCCTTGGTTGTCTCAGATTCCATATGTCAGACATATTTGGGGGGCAAGTTATTATAGAAGTAATGTACTATAGAATTTTTCTTAACTGTTCGGAGATAATTTTGGAGTGCTAAAAGAAGTTTGAGAGCTTATTATCTTGACAGGCATCAGCTCCAGCATCCTCTAGTTGAGTTGATTCCCACAAACCTACAATACTATAGCTACCATATTCAGTTGTAAGAACCATTTCAAAATTTGAAATAAAGTTGGTGGAAACTCTCATCCTTCATCTAACTGATATTTTGACTTTGTGAAACACTCCATCTACAAAGTGCCACGACTAACAAGTCTTTAATTTCAGAAAAGTTAATTTTGTAAAACACTGGGCCTACCATTTTTTCATATGCAGGCAGTGACATAGTACTAGTTGTTGTGGTTTTGTGATGATGGTTGAACCCAGGGCCTTGTGTATACCACTGAGCTACATTCCCCCCTCAAGTAGAATTACATAACTGTTGGCACTATTTAGAGCTTAAGTAAGCAATTGTTTGTTGAAAGGTATTGTCCTATGCAGTGTAAAATATTTGAGCATTTTTGCTTACAAGCATTTATCCAGTAGACAAAAGCACCATACCAGTTGTGATAAAACATCTCTAGACATTACTAAATGTTCCTGGAGCAAAAATAATTTCCATTTGAGCACTGCTGCTGTAGAAAAATGTCTCATTTCCATAGCTGCTTGTAATTTCTCTGACAAGTTATTAACAAATTGATAGTCCATGTGACTCTAGATAGATCAATTCGTGGTAGTAGTAAGCAGAATATATAAGAGCAATTAAGTGTTATCCTGTTACCCTGTTTTTAATTCATGTTGAGAAAACAGATGTTTTTTCTTTAATTCAGCTTTTAAATTTTCTTAACCTAAAAAAAGGTGGAGTAGGACTGAGTAGAAATCTCATAATATTGAAAGAAATATGTTTTACATCTGAGAAGTACTCATCATTTACCTTTTAGATGGGATTACATATTTAAACATTTAAAGCCTCCTTATAACCCCTCCCCCTATAGAAAAACTAAAACTCGCAGGGCGTTGGTGGCGCACGCCTTTAATCCCAGCACTCGGGAGGCAGAGGCAGGCGGATCTCTGTGAGTTCGAGGCCAGCCTGGTCTCGAGAGTGAGTGAGTGGATAGGCTCCAAAGCTATACAGAGAAACCCTGTCTCGAAAAACCAAAAAAAAAAAAAAAAAAAAAAGACTAAAACTCAACACTATGAAATGTGTGTAGAGAAACTGGTTGAAAAATAAACAGGTTTTTTTCTAGGTGTGCATGAGACTTGTTATAGTTGAACATAGTTCTAAGGTTTTAGATGACATAGAGCAAGAGAAATGCTGAGTTTTTGTTACAAGTGATAACTTGATACACACTATAAAAGTTGTGCACCATACTGCTTGTTCTACAATACTTACTCCCTTGTTCTCTTCTTATCCCAAGATAAAGTGAAATCTTTTCGTGCAGCGCTACAAGAAGAAGAACAAGCAAGCAAGCAAATTAACCCCAAGAGACCCAGAGCCCTGTAAAGTTGGTATTTGCTACTAAAGGATCCCCAGAATCTCCAATACTGTAACAAACAGTGGTCCAACTGTAAAGGCCACTTGAACTTTTTTTTTTTAATCTTTAAGTGTGTGGAAATATCTTGTCCTTCACCTGAATGGCATTTCAATTTTGTGAAACACTCCTTTGTCTACAAAATGCTTCTAGTCTAAGAGGCACAACTAACAACTGGGATTAGTGAAGTATTTTGTTTCATTTACCCATTTAAAGATTGTGGAAGTAATCCAGAAGTGGAGAGTATGGGGGAAGCCACAAAATTTCCTTTAACTGAGATCCATTTTCGTAGCAAGACAGCAATTTTGAATACTTTGCGTGCATGCATACCTCATCAGTGATTGTACATACCTTGCCTACACTCCTAGAGACAGCTGTGTTCACTTTCTTCTCTGTGCCTTGACTAAGGCTATTGACCCTAGATTTCTGAAGCACAGCCAAGATAAATTACATTCCTTATTTGTAACTGTAAATTACCTTTATTGTGTGTACATTTTTACTGTATTTGAGACTTTTTTGTGTGTGTGTGTGTGTGTGACTAGTTAATTTTACAGTATGTGCCATAGCAATTGAACGGAACTAAAGTCTGTGACAGTGGACATAGCTGCTGGACCATTCCATCTTATATGTAAAGAAATCTGGAATTATGATTTTAATACCATGACATGTGATTATAATTTTCTTAGCATTTTCTTTGTAAAAAACTAAAATATAAACTAGATGGTGTATAATAAAAAGTAAAGAAATTCTGACAAGAGTTTTATCTTAGGATAATACATATATATGCAGTGTGTGTGCCAGTGGTGTTAACAAGACTAATAGTGTAATCTGATCCTTAACAATGCCATTATTTAAGTTGAAGTGTTTCCTAGCGCCCCAAATTTAATGTGCTGTTAAAGGAAATTGGCTTCTGATGCATGAACATTTTTGTATGTACATTGAAAGTAGTCCATAATACAAGTTAGATAAACAAGTGTAGATGGTATGTAACCCTAAGAAGTGTCAATGCCTTACAGGGCAGGTCATAGCAAGCTCCATCAATATCTAGTATGTGATGGTTTTCCATGTGATGAGAATCACATCTCACGGATAGATAGATTGGTAGTAAGGAAGGCTACTCTTTAAATGGCAGCACTTATTTTTACAGCTGCTAAAAGAAAACTGGCCAATTTTCATGTAAATACTGTTTAAAGATTTATACATATATATATATATATACATATATATATACACATCTCTAGGAGTTTTCCCTTGGTTCGCAGGATACAGTCCAGTAGGTTAACCAAAGAACCTCCCATATTTCTCTTGATTAGGGAACCTACTGCTTCACTCAGTGAACCAAGGGGAAATCTATGAATAGAGTCAACGAGCCAGAGTCTTTACTTCACTGATCTTAAATGAGAGGATAGCTGAGGAGTCCTAAGACCATGGTGAAAAGCTCTGTAAACATGAAATCTAAATCAAATGTAGATTTTTCACAATATGCTTATTAATAAATGAAATCTATGAAACGAATTTAGAAATAATGTACTTCAATATATTCAACCTTTGTTTTGGAAGGAACTCAGGTTTTCTTGCAGTTGTAAGATGTATTCTATTTGTGTCTGTTTCAAAGACAAGAGGAAGAATGAACTATTTCTATTGACCTTGCAGAGGCTGTTAAGGTAACTTTTGCCAGGCATGGTGGCACATGCCTTTAGTCCCATACTCAAGAAGCAGAGGTAGATGGATGTCTGAGTTCAGGGCCATCCTGGTCTACGTAGTGAATTCCACAGCTATGTAGAAAGACTGTGTTGCCAATAAAAGGGTAATTTTTGTGAACACCTCATATGTAGTAGGCAACAAACACACAAACTTGCTCATTAAGCACAACAGTTTAGCTTTAATGGCACTGGACAGGTACTATCTTTGGAGGGTCTTTATAGATATAATCTTCTTTATAGATACAATCTTAATCCGTAGTCAAAGTATTGAAACTGGTACCAGCAAACATCTTGAGAACTAAAATATGATTGAGCATTACAAGGGAAACTGAAGACCAGTAAAGGGGACTAAGGTCAGCAGCTGGTGAGTACAGGGAAACAAGCTGAGAAAGCCTAGTTAAGTGGAACTGTTTCTCTAAAGGTGGCGATGGTATGTACAAATGAACTCTGCAAAACAGTTCTGTGACATTAAAGATAATTAACCCTTAAGAATAGTTACTGTTTGTGTAACAAAAGTAGCTTTTGCAGCGAAGTAATTTTTTTTGTTTTAGACTAAATGTTCTTTAGCACTTTCTGAAACTTCAAGGCTGCTATACATTATTTTAACTATTGATAGTTAACTACTCAAAATCATAGTAACATTTACTATATGACTTTAAAGCCAGATTTTGGGGGAATAATGTCTGTGTAGGCAAACCACTTGTATTCTTAAGTTTACTTAGCATCCTTAGCTAAATTAATTGGAAACATTCGTTTTAAGTTTTGGTTACAAAGAGAGCCAAATTTATATAATTTCCTTATATAAATAAAACGTTTAATTTATTAAAATAAAAACAGCATTTATCTTAAGTCTGACAAATTTTAAATAGCTTAAAAAGAAGTACCAGGTACTAGAATTCTAATTGTCCAGAAGTAAGGAACCACCAGGAGACTGTAGTTGTGGGAAATGGCTGTTCTTTTAAAAAGCTGAAAACTGAAACTGGAAAACTTATTTTGAAGCTACACACGGTGGGATATAAATGTAATTCCAGCATTTAGAAGGCTAAGACAAGATTTTTTGAGGTCAACCTCAAAAAAACACCCTGTCACTCATGAAAGAAAAGAAGATCACCAAATTAATAAAGCCCATTTGATTTATAAACCCTTCTGGGATTTTTCTAAATCTGAAATTTGTAGATCTTGTCTCCCCCAAGAAAATAGAGATGTAATATTTTATTACTTTGTTTCTAAGCTTCTGCATTTCACAGGTAGAGTCAGAGAGCATGCCTACACTGTATAATTGCAGCAGACTCAGCTTACCCAGATAGGCAACATTGTCTGTATTGCAACAATATATAGGATGAGGAGGGTATGTAAAGGAAAGTCGTGTTAAGTAACTTACTGTACATAAGAATAAGGAGGAGGAGGAGGAGGGATTTGTGACTGACTGAACTGCAGGCCTAAAATAGGCCTCATATTTCATAATACAATGAATAAAAAAGTAACATCTTTATACAATAAATTATTAGAAAGTTTAAATGTATGGTTGTGCATATCTGCGGCTTTTGAACTTGAAAACCATTATGTATGTTGAACCCTGTCCTTTGCAGTATATTTAAAACACTTAAAAACAAAAAGAATACATAGACTCAACCACTTTTAACATACAGGATAATATTAGGAAGGTATAATTTCATTTTTTTCTTGGTCTTGAAAAAAATTGTTTTCAAATTGCTAGGAAAAGTGGATACCTTCTGCATTGAATCCATGTAACAACCTAAAGGGGGAAAAATGAAAATGAATGGTGTTACCAAAAAAACCCCAACTTTTGACACATAACGTACCTGTACCTTTAATACATATACACATGAACATACACACCTATTCCTAGTACTAGTTATTAAAAGAAATGTTACTCTCCAAATACATTGGCTAAATAGACGGTGTCGGGTTTATGTCTTGTAACCTACTGTTTGACTGAAATTTTAAGAGCTGCTATCCCAGGCTTTGCTCATCAGCCCTTACTCTATCTCAGCATGACCAGCTAAAAAAGAAACAAGCAAAGTGAGATGAATTATTCTCTTAACTCTTACTGAAGCTTAATAAAATACATTTTACTTCCTTGTTGATATTATGTTCTTATCTGACTTACATTAGAAAGTGGTACCCTGAGGAAGTTTTAAGAAGGAAGTTTAAAATACAGTATGTTTGGACCTGCGTTTACTTTTCAGGATGGCCTGTATGGATTAATATGTCTGGAAAAGCATTCAACTATCAGGGTTAACAGTCAGTGAAGACTCAGTATTCTGCTAGCCAACCAATAAAACAATTCCTTAAGTACTCTATCCATCTTTTTAACACTACTGCTTTAACAGTAAACTGGCTAAACGTGGATACATCCTATCCTAGAAGTAGAGTATTTGTCTAGCATATATAGTAAACAAAATGTCCAGGAACTAAAAAATAAATAAATAAATGTCCAGGAACTTCTGGAAGTGTTAGTAAAAGCAAAACAAGTTAGTACAATTGGGTAATGAACTGAAACTTACGTAGTACAAAGGAAAACAGATTTTTGTTCCAAATGCCAAGTAACTGGTGCCCTTTAACTTAATAGGTGTAGAATTTGCCTTAGGCCACATCTATTATTAAAGGAGTAATCAGATGTGGTTATAACTGATGTTTTGTGCTTACCATCTGTTTAACAGCTATTCTAAAGTAAGGAAATGATGGATCATCAAATCTAATTACATGTGTTAAAATGATTTTTCTACCTTACAGGCTATTTGAAGAGGTAAGCATACCCTATTAAGACAATGAATGAGTTTGGACTTGGAGTAGGAGAAAAGCAACACACACAGCACACATAAACCCAGGCTACTTATGGCGCAGACTGTTCTTTACTACCAGTCTTAATATACTCATTCTGCTGCAGCTACCTAGCTGCCATCCTTCACACCAGTGGTTCTCAACCTGTGGGTCGTGACCCCTTGGGGGGGCGGGTGTTAGATGACATTTTCAGAGGCATCGCCTAAGACCATTGGAAAATATAGATATTACATTATGATTCTTAACAGTAGCAAAAGTACAGTTACAAAGTAGAAATGAGAATAATTTTATGGCTGGGGTCACCACAACATGAGGAACTATCAAAGGGTCACAGTGTTAGGAAGGTTGAGAACCACTGCTTTACACCAAATACTGTGCCACACTATGGAAGTGCTATGCAATAACTCTCCCAGGTAGCACCTTATGCCGCTTAAAAGCCTTTAAGTCTCTAATCTAAAATACCACAGTAAAGAAATGTAAACATTTAGAACAACACCACCAAATGTAATTACCTGATAAAGTCATCTATGTCCATGGAACGGGCCCGTTTGTCACTAAAACCTGTGCTGGTTAGGATTTGCTGTATTTTATCTGCTATACTGAAATCTTCTGGTATTACCTATCAATATAAGATTCAGAATAAATGAACAACATATCTTTAATGAAGACACCATGACTCTTTTCTTTAAGTTTATAGTCACTTTTAATAGATTTGTAAATGACAGTGGGAACACCTGACATATTGGGTAAGATCTAGATTTCTAGCTGGGCGTTGGTGGCTCACACCTTTAATCCCAGCACTAGGGAGGCTGAGGCAGGCAGATCTCTGTGAGTTCCAAGCCAGCCTGGTCTACACACTGAGTTACAGGACAGGCTCCAAAGCAATACAGAGAAACCCTGTCTCCAAAAACCAAAAAAAAAAACCTCTGGATTTCTCTAATTAGGAGGCTGATTTTGTGTCACAGTACTTGGAATACTTCGAGCTATCATGCACATACTGCCCTTTTTCATCGTTAAAATAATAGCGTTCAGACCTCACAAAGTGAGTAAAATTTAAAAGCCATTACTGATTCATACAGCTCACCTAACCAGGTAAGTTTTCTCAGAAATGACTTCTCTCGTAAGTATATCACATGTTGGTGGGGAGTATCATAGCTCACCCCTGTAATCCCAGCACTTATGAGAGAGGAAGGAGTAACTTAAGTATAGGGCAGGCCTATGCTACAGAGTAAGACTGTCTCAAAACAACAAAATAGTGATTTGATTTTTACTTCACTCACCATTTACCCATAGACCATTTAAAATACAACTTCATGTTTTTAAATTTAGACTCATATGTAGTAGCTTTTGTTCATATTAGAGAATGGAGACAGTACTGTTTGGGCATAAAAAAAAATACAAAGGAAATAGTCTTAAATATGTCTGCTTTGTCAAACTTAAAGATGCTGAAAAACAACAAACTTAGCATATATGCATGCATATGTATATTCATGAGGACTGCCATACTTCAAACTGTGAAGAGGCATGAGGCACATGACCAAAAATACCCACGCTTTGTTCTGATTATTTAAGATCTCCAGATGAGGCAGTGGTGACACACTCCTTTAATCACAGCAATTGGGAGATAAAGGTAGAAGCATCAGGGATTTAGACATTCTTAACTACACAGTGGCAGCCTGGGCCACACTGAGCAACAAACAGAATAATCACAGTTTGGGTAGGAACATTCCACTCGTTTAAGCCATGCAAACTACTAATCAATACATTTAAAGAATTACAGATCAGATGAATCCAACTCTTACTAGGGTTAAATACAAATGTTAAAGAAGAGTTGGTTCAGAGTTCACAGCAAAACTAACTTTTTGAAACTAGCTAGGCATGGTGCTCACCCTGCTCAGGCAGGAAGATCGCTGTGGGGCTGTTCAAACCCAGCCTAAGCTACATAGCAAGGCCATTTCAAAAACCACAAAGAGACTTGGTTGGACTAGTTACACATTATGTATTGGGTCCCACAGAATAAGAAAGGCAAGAGCTGTGCTGCCTGAATTGAGTCTGCATTGAGATCAGGCACATGGTAGGCAGGGGGTCCTAGAGAAAGAATAAAGAAACCCCAAGCATGCTTCAAACAGAGAGTAAAAAAGGTTATGCTTTTGTGAGTAATCCAGAAAGGCAGACCGAGGAAGCAGCATGGCTGTGTTCTGGAAGACACTGGTAAAGGACAGTTTTAAAAGTAAAGGGGCAGCACTTAGGAGGGAGAGGCAGGAGGATCTCTGAGTTCGAGGCCAGCCTCCACTAAGACTCTGTCTTAAATGAACAAAAATCACTGAAATGATAATTTCTACTTACAGTGTTATGTACTGAACAGTGAATTCTATAGTTCCTTTCCAACAGCTGCTGTACTGCACTTGATCTGGAGATTAAGTGACAATTACAAAGTCAGATTATATGTAATTTAAATTTAGACAAAATGAAATATACATTGGCCTATGAGGTGGCTCAGTGATAAAGGCACTTGCAATGCCGAACAACCTGAAATCAAGCTCCAGAACCTACATGGAGGAAGGACCACTCTTGTAAGGTGTTTTCTGAGCCCCATCCCCCACGCCCAATGTAATTTTAAAGTAAGGCTAAGCAGTGGTGTGCACACCTTTAATCACAGCACTCAGGAGGCAGAGGCAGGTGGATGTTTGTGAGTTCAAGGCCTGCCTGGTCTACAAAGAGTTCTAGGGCAGCTAGGGCTATTTATTACACAGAGAAACCATGTATCCAAAAAGAAAAAAAAAAACAAAAAAAAAAGTGAATGTATGACTTGGAGAAATTCAGGAATTTAAAAAGGGCACAGAATATTTAAACTTAAAAAGATAACACTTTATATAAAAAGAGTCCTAATAAACATCTCTTTAAGTTCTCTTGTTCTTTACATGAGTCAAATTCTCAACAGTGCTTTTTTTAAAACCCCCACACTCCCATACACAATGCTTAAAGAAAAAAAAAAAAAAAAGACAGGTTTTTATTAACGCTTCCCAAGCTGGCCACAAAATTCCAGTGCTCTAGTGTTAACAGCATCTTAACATTCTAAGTAGCTGAGCTACAGATATGGTGCCTTTCGCGCACAAACTTCAATTCTGAAGGGTTCTTAGATACTCCACAAAACCTCCCTAACCCAAAACAACTTTGCTAGGCTTGGTGGCAACGAACTATAATAATACAGCTGCTAGAAAGGCTGATTGCAGGTTCAAGGCCAGCTTCGAACTCAGAAGGTAACAGGAGGTCTAGGTGATGGGTGAGTCACTGAGTGACAGAATGCTCAGGTAGCATGCTTAAACCTCAGGTTCAATCCTTGGCATGGCCAGGGTAAAAAGTCTACACACTCTAAATCAAATCTCACCTATTTTACCCTTGGACACCCAAGTTGTGTTAGATCTCTCAAGTTAATAAAACAGCACAAAGACTAGAAGGTAGCTCAGCTGGTAAAGGCACTTGCTGTGCAAGCCTAATAACCTGAGTCCATGCCCTAAACACCTAAGTGGGAGATAACCCAGTCCTCAAAATAGTCCTCTGACTTTCAAGTGTGCACCATGACACATATCCCCACCCACAGAAAAATAAGGAAGAGGAGAAAACCCAAAAGCAAAAACATGGGAAATGTGTGGTTAGATTAGTTTTTCCTGTTTTGCAAAAAAAACCTGATTTGACTTCCAACTCCACTTTTCGTTATTACATTCTGCCTAATCTCTGTACTTTAGGGTAGCCCTTTCTGGGTAAAGGACCAAATGCTTTCACTACCTGGAAAAATGGTCCTTCACTGTTACAAAGCAGTAGAATACTTACTTGAATGCAGCAGACAGAGTCTTGTTTTTCCGAACAAAAGCGATCCTTACTAAGCCATCCCATTCCTGAAATACAAGATGAATATTTTCCTTAGAATACGTAACTATGCCTGCTAGCTATGATCATTTATAACATATAAAGTCAGAGAGAATGAAAATGGCCTACATCTTGATAGAATATATGCAAAAAGATATACACTTGACTTCTGTACTTGTTTAAATCTCACTGAATTTAATAGGAAAAAAAAGTTGTCCCCATATATAACATAGCAGTTGGAACACTTTCAAAATAGAATCAAACTAAGGACAGTGGCACATGCCTATAATCCTAGCACTTACAATTAGGAGTTCAGTCATCCAGTACATAAGAGAATTTGAGCCTAGTCTTGAGCCACAAGCAACTGTACCTCAAAATACCAAATTCAAAACACAAATGTGATTTAGGATGCAGCTTGTGCAAAATGTTTTTTCTAATATAATTAGTTGAATTTTATACCAAATCATCTAGTTCTTTTTCTGATCACAAAATCAGTCATTTTAATTGAAAAAATGTTTCCACAAGAGCTTCCACATGCATAAGGCCTGGGATTTTCACTCTAGCAACACCAAAAAGTTACCACAGTATTATTCAAACAGGACTTTTAATTTTCCAAGTTTTATTCAAACAGATGTTTCCAGCATGTATAATCTTAAGTTTTGAAATGCAACTATATTTTTTTATAAAAATTTTCCATGTTTTTGTGTGGTACACATTAACTCTTTTCCATCAAACGACTCCAACCTGAGACTGCATTGTACTTCCTATCTTCCTGTGTTTGGATACTCAGGTTGAATTAGTATTGTTCTGCTGCTTTAGAATGACATTTTCCAACCTGGATATTTTTTGCCTTTAAAGACCTAGTATTTTGGCCTCACCTGAAAATTGATAGGTGGTGGCGGATTCTTAGGTTCTATCCTTACAACGCTGGACTCCACCTTGGGAGGCGGTCTGAAGTTATTCTTCCCCACCTATTAATCAGAAAATGTTTAGTCCTCTCACAGGCAACTTCATTTACTTTTTGTTTGTTTTGATACAGGGTCTCACCATGCAGGTCTGGCCGGCCTGGAACTCACAGAGATTCACCCCTCTGCCTCCTGGTTAAGGTGTATGTCATATCTGGCAAGGGTAACTTTATAAATTGGTAACCAAAGACATCTGTTGGCCAGGTATGGTGGCTTAGGCTTTGGGAAGCTGATAGTTCCAGGCTAGTCAGAGTTAGAAAACAAGACCCTGTAGGGCAAGGGCAAGTGCTCAGGATGAATTAAACTAGATTATTTAAGGATTAAAAACAAAAAAATAAAATAAAATAAAAAAAACAACTCACATACCTTCATTAAATGGTCCACACGTGCTAAAAGCTGTGTATTAATGGAGAGTCTGCAGTATAACTTATCTCCCGGTTTTGCAACCAAACGAAGAGCAAATTCTCTTTGAAACATAAGTACAGCACATCTGAAAAGGAAGCAGAAATGAATAAGAAAAATTGCTCATCTTCAAACACAGCCATAGTTTTTAACTAAAAATTTGTTTTTTATTTTATGTGTCTGAGTGTTTGCCTGCATGTATGTATTTGTACTGTGTGTGGAACAGGTGCCCATGGAGGTCAGAAGTAGGCATTGGAACCGTAGAACAGGAGTTACAGCCATATGTTAGCTGCCATGTGAGTGCTGGGAGTACAGCAACAGCATATACCAGTGAGCAACCTCTCCAGATAATTGTATTTTTAACCACAGTGAATTGTCCTGGGAGGACTTGTTGTTAATGGCAGTATGATCAGAAGGCAGAGCACTTTCAGCCTTAGCGTTATCGATACAAAACATACAGGTATACTCTTAACCCCAAGGAAGATGGCTTTCTCTCATGGATTAGATGGAACAACTATTCTGACCTGTTGTTGTATTAGTATTACTCTTATGTATTAGTCTATGATGCCTTCTGAAAGCAAACAAACCAAAAACAACAGCAACAACAACAACAACAAAAAACCCACAGTAAAGTTGACTCCACGGGAAATTATATAGCTGGAACTATATCTGAGGTATGGCCTGGTAGGTTACAATGTCCAGTGTTCTCTTAGTTCAGCAATATGTGGACTTCTTCAGCAAGTGATGGAGACATGTTTAACATCTGTATTTGAGATGTGGGTGTGGTGTAGTGGGAATTGAAGCGAAGGCCTCATGTATGTATACCACTGAGTTATATCTCCAGTCCTTTAGGTCTGCTTTTTATTTTGAGATCAGGTCTCACAAAGTTGCCTAAGCAGGTCTTGAATTCACAATCCTCCAATCTTGGCCTCCAGGATATATCCATATATCTCTGCATACCCCAAAGAAAACTTTTTTTGGGGGGGGAGGGGGTGGTTTTGAGACAGGATTTCTCTGTGGCTTTGGAGGCTGTCCTGGAACTATTGTAGACCAGGCTGGTCTCAAATTCACAGAGATCCACCTGCCTCTGTCTCCCGATTGGTGGGATTAAAGGCGTGTGCCACCACCGCCCACCCCAAACAAAACTTTCATAAAACCATATGAAGCTGTCTTCTGATATAACCTATTCCCTGTCATTAAAGAAGGAATGGTGGTGAGGGACGGGTGTGTGTGTGTGTGTGTGTGTGTGTGTGTGTGTGTGTGTGTTGCATGTTAAAGCCTGATGACCTGAGTTTGATCCCTGAGATGTGCAAGCTGTCCTCTGACCTCTGTAAGTGCACAGACATGCACACACAATGTTAAAAAAGGATGGTTATGGCTCCTACAATTTTGAGTTTATTTTATAAACACTGAGGAGGTATGTGACTTAGTTTCAAAGCCACTGGTATAAAACACTGTTTTAACAATTAAGTTACTACAAGAACCTAGACATAATGTTAAGAAATTTCTGTCAGTTTATTGGAAAGTATTAGAAAGCAGAGGGAAAAGCGTCCACACACATTTACCACCCCAAGTAAAAAATTAACTAAAAGACCTTCCTAGTAGTATTTGTGTGTGTGTGTGTTTCTGAGACCAGGGTATTATACAACCTAGGCTGGGCCTGAACTAGCTATGTAGCCAAAGATGAGGATAAAGCAATGCTCCTGCTTCTGGTCCTCACATCTGGATTACAGGCATATGCCACCAGGCTGAGTTTTATGTGGTGCTGGAGATGGAACTCTAGGCTTTCTGGACATCAGTAAGCATTCCACTCCATCCACTGAGCTACATTCCTGTCCCAAAAACTTGTATTTTCTATAGAAATGCTCTAGTAGTTTTTCAGGTGTGTTCATTTTTGGCTGTGTTCTGGCCTAAATTGTCAGTCTAAACTTTAGCAGTAATTGTGTGGTTTTACACAAACCTGAAAAATGGTCGGTGAAGCAACAACTTGAAGACAAAGGGAGAGGAGATCTGAAAGAGAATTCACAGTTTGAGTTGAGAAAAGACATCGGAGAATTACTTAGTGGGATGCTTCTGACAGTCTGAGGGATACCTGATAGGGCAAGTTTGCCACACAAGCATCGAAGAACGGCAAATCTGATTTCAATACATCTCCCACCAGGACCTGGAGTTTGCTGGCCAGAGGCCTGATAACAAGGAAAGAAATTTTAAGAGAATGTTGTTTCATGAGATTGAAATGTACTTTAATTATTACATATACTCACGTGCCCTGAACTCTTTTGTGAAGTTCAGCTACTAGCCTTGGATCAAGTTCGCAGGCAACTACCTACATTAACAATAAAAAAAAAAGAAAGCTTCACTATGGAGTATAAATCTTTTACCATCCAAGCAATAACTCATATGATCTACATGATTTAAGCTTTTTCCAGGCCTAACATGAATACCCCCTCAACTGTATTCTACCACTTCAAACAACATCTTGTTTGGTCTGTCTCCATGCTTTGTAGCTGGAGATGATGAAAAGAACACCCTTATTTAATCAGTGTTTTTAGACAGCCCACAAGAGATCCACTCCCAGTACTCTTTATTAACTGATATCCAGAACAGAAGGCATAACATCACAGAGGTTTCACTGACTGTGTCTACAAGACAGACACTTGCTATATTAGATCTCCCATCAACACACCAAGGGTAGATTTTGTTTTCTTAATACATTTCATTTTCAGAGTTAAAAATTTCTAAAGGCTCAATAATTACTATTGAAACAATGGCAATTAAAACATTTATATTTTAAACCAGTTGAGCTAATTTAGTAGTAACACATAAGTGCCCCCCTTTTTCTTTTTTTACCTTTTTGGCCTTTTCTAACAGCTTGACAGTCATGTTTCCAGTCCCAGGCCCAACTTCCAGCACCACATCAGTAGGTCTTAATGCAGCCTAAAAGCAAGCACAACTCCTTATGCTTCTGGCCCACCTGAACACATACCTTATAAATGACTGTTTCTACTCATCAATGCAAGTTAAAAGAGATTTTAGTCTAGCTTCATTCTTCTTGTTAACAATACTGCCTTAAGTGCAGTAGGTATAAATGAGTATCTCCATTTCCTAATAGAGGGGATATATTCAACTTCTGGAGTCAGAAGAAAAGCAAGAACAAGCACAAATGGCTTTCTGCTTTCTACACTGGTGATAATTCCAGCAACCTCTAAGTCTGCTCCTGTCAAGAAGGTAAAAATGGGAAAGAGCTTGTTGAGCTTGCCTATGGTCAGCATGTGGGACCAAGAGTTCTCTCCTTTTTTTTTTTTGAGACAGGGTTTCTCTGGCTGTCCTGAAACTCACTTTTTAGACCAGGCTGGCTTCGAACTCATTGATCATTGAGATTTGCCTGCCGTTGCCTCCTGAGTGCTGGGATTAAAGGTGTGCTCCACTACCGCCCAGCAGATTTCTCAATTCTTAACCCACTGTGTAGTAAAACTATAACAACCTCATAAAACTGTGTGTCAACATATACATACAACTAGAATATTCTGTGATTAAACTTTTTAACTTCTGGTAATTAAACTTTTTTTTTACAGCTCCTTGTCCGTACAGAATTTGTACTGTCTTTATTTTACCTCCTGGTTCTCAATCATTCATAACCACAACACATTAGCACATACAGAATAATCCTCCAGATAATTTATATGCAGTACTATATATTTTTCACAGGAACAAACTTACTGTGTGATTTAGACATAAGTTTAAACTCTAGAATAAATATAAGACAATCACAGACGCTTGGAAAGTGGAATCGGGGGAACAGAAATTCAAGGTTGGCTATGTTCACCTACTATATTTTGGGCCAGCCTGAGTTACATGACATCCAGTCTCAAAAACAAACAAGAAAAAAAAAACCTCCAAAAGATGATTAAATAATCTGGAAATTAATAAACAAGTACAAAGAAAAGTCCACCTACCAGGCAGATAATTCACAGAAAAGATACAGGACTTGAAGGTCAGCAGGAAGAGACTCAGAACGAAGTATGCAAAAGACAGCATGTGAATCTCAGACAATTCTTAACCCATTAAACACACAAATACAGAACACCTATTTTATGTCGGGTACCATATCTTATTTTTATTTTCTTAGATTCTCACTATGTAGCACAAGCTGGCTTTGAACAAAACATCGCCCAACCTCAGCTTCCCCAAGTGCTGGGATAAGTGTACACAACGTCATGTTATACCAGGTGTAAGCACTCCGAAAAAGATGACACACAAACCTCTGCCTTTTCTCGTCTATACCCACCTTATCAATAATGCTGTTAACAATTAGAGGATTTTTCAAAATGTGCTGCCCAATCCCTGTGTTGAACATGAGTCCTGGAATAAAACACGAAGCAGCCTTAATTTCCCAACTTTTCAAGATCTATCCCAGGCCGTCCCAGAGAAGCAGCACGGAGGATTTCTGCACCAATGATGCCACAAGCGTCAGGCTCTCGTCTGGGGTTGGGACGCAGCTTTAAGTCCATCCATCCCTCCCGCTGGCACGGACGACCAGGCGCGGGGAAGGCTCAGCGCTGAGCGTGCACCCTCCTCGGAGCGGCCTCCCGCGCCGCGGGTCAGATCGCACCGACAGACGCGGTCCGCCCCCAGCTCCCTCCACGCCGCCGCACCTCCGGCCCGCTTCAGCTCCCGGCGCTGCTCCTGCCGCTCGCGCCGGCGGCCACTCGCCGAGGACTTCGCCTTCGGCATCTTCTTAGGAGTCCGGGGGCAAGGAGAAAGCAGCGAACACCGCGTGGAAGTCGACTCGGTGCCGTCACGACAAACGCTCCGGTGAGGCCCACTTCCCCTCCCACTGCGCTCAGGGACCCTCCCAGCAGTGGCAGGCTGGAGCCCAGTAACCGCTGGGAATTGTAGTCTCTGCTGAGACCCGGCTCGAGACCGGTGGCCGCCGGGAATTGGAGTTTCGGCTGAGCTCCCGCAACAGGACCCGGCTCGATCCCGGTGGCTGCCGGGAATTGTAGTCTCTGCTGAGCTCCCTCAGCAAGGACCCGGCTCGAATTCAGTGACCGCCAGGAACTGGAGTCTTGGCTTGAACTCGCGGAGCAGGACCCGGCTTGAGCCCGATGAATTATACTCTTGGCCGAGCTCGCCTGACAGGACCTGGCTCGAGCCCGGTGGTCGCCGGGAATTGGAGTCTCCGCTGTAGTAACGCCTCCAGAAGCCAGGCAGGGTTCCCAGAAGACACCGCGCTGCTGAGGCAAGCAGTTTGGATTGCTGGATCAGAGTTGGCAAACTGGATTGGCTAGGCCCTGGGACCTATGTCTCCCCACCCCATACCTCCTCCGGCAAAGATCTCTGAGGTGAATCTTTTCTATTTCCCTGGAGGTTGTCGGATGAGACGCCTAGGCTTGAGGGATATGGAGCCAAGGCTATTACAGAAAAACCCTATCTCGGGAAAACGAAAAAGGAAAAGGAAAGAAACTGTGTTCCCAAGCCTTGGTTTCAGCTGCTCCTTGCTTTGATGTATTTCGAACTCTAGAAAAATCTTAAAGTATCCTAATACAGTCTTCTAAGTTCTACTGATACGGGACTTCTACCAAAGAAGAGCATTGGGACATTGCCTCTGAGCCAATGGAAAGTCTTCATTCCAGCAGGCTGGCGACTATATCTAGGTATTCAAGACCGAAGTGCAGTTCTGACTGTAAAGTCCTCAAGGCTCCCATCCTGCAGCTGTAAGCTAAGTAGATGGTTACAAAAGCCAAAATATGCGATTGGCAAAAATAGAGAGTTGTTTTTCTTCGCGGAATTGTTTTTCTTAAGCTCCCCTTTACAGTGACTAGCACCTTACTCTGCATACAAAGTTCATCTGAGGTACTAAGATGAAGTCACTACAGTTTACAGCCCTTGTCATTCAATTTCATTTATTGTTAATATGCATAATTCTGGAGAGTCTACATTGTGTCAGTCACTGCCATATATTAGGAGGAAAAAGATAAACATGACATCATCCCAGCTTATTAAAAAGTTCATTTTTTAAAAGGGGAGGGTGCAGTCTGATACATCTATCGACACCCTATGCTCCCAGGCTCCCTCCCTGAGGCATGGCACAAGCCTTCTCTTCACTGTTATGTCTTAGTTATGGTTTCTGTTGCTGTGAAGAGACACCATGACCAAGGCAACTCTAACAAGGAAAATATTTAATTGGGGCTGACTTAAAGAGGTTTAGACCATTACCATCATGGTGAGAAGCATGGCTGCATGCAGACCCAGCATTGTGCCGGAGTTGGAACTGAGAGTTGTACATCTTGATCAGCAGGCAGCAGCAGGAGACAGTGTGCCACACTAGGTGTAACTTGAGCTTATGAGGCCTCAAAGCCTGTCCCCACAGTGACACACTTCCTCCAACGCTGTATCTCCTAACAGTGCCCTATGGGCTAAGCATTCAAACACATGAGTGTATGGAGGACATTGCAATTCAAACCACCACACTATGGCAATAGCACAGCACATTCTGAACTTCACATTCAATGCCAAAGCTGATGGTAAGACCATTCTGAAAGGTCTTAGTTCATTTTCCAGGAGCAGGGGATAACAGAGTCACTGCATACCTGGCAGGACCACAGCTATTTAGCAACTTACACACACACACACACACACACACACACACACACACACACGGCAGCAGCTTTGCCAATTTGAGAATTTACCCACATGGATTGGGGTTGGTGGACCTTCAGAGTTATGACAGTGATGAACAAGATAAGAAACTGACAGTTTTTGAACAAAATAGAAGAAAAAAGAAAAGAAGCAGAACAGTATTTGGCAGGTGAATAATTTACCATCCACGGATCAAAGTGAGGTCATCAACAGGTACTGGCTAACTGCTGATGAGTGTGTAGTTGAGGGCAACATAGATGAAGTGTATGGTGAAGATTCAGCTTAACAAAATAGTAACATTCTGCACTTAAAGCAGTTTGGAAATATTTTCACTCCTAGTGGGGATGCTAATTTGTCAAAAAGTGACCCAGACCAGCATGGACAGTGGCAAAAAAGACTACACTGACAAAGATGTATTGATTCTGGGAGGTGTGGATGGGGGGTATATGTGGAACACTTAAACTGAAACCGAAGATGGTCACTGTGGTAGAGACTGGTGGACTGGTGATTGACAGATGTAAGAAATGTATGTGAAGAACATGTGGTGACATCTTAGGTAATCATAAAGGAGATTGTTACCAGGTTATCATAGGAGAGTGTATTCCATTACTGAATAGATATGCCAAAGGAGAGAGAGAGTTCAATTATGTGATTAATGGTTTGACTACTGTCCTAATCTCTACATCCCCAGAAGGAGATTCTCAGACGAGAATTTCTCAGGCTGATCCTCAACCTGTCAATGAAGTACTGAAAGTAGGATGGAAAACGTTTCACACAGGGAACTGTGCCGGTCTGACAGTCTCTGTGTCTCCATGAAGAACAACTAAGACATCTGCATTGTCCTATGGGCTTCTCAAGGGAGAATTTTTTGTGCTCTTTCATACTTGGAATTGTATTTTGTGCTGTTTGGAAGAACACTAAGCCTTGAAGATGAGCATCTCCTGATGACAAGTGCTGCAAGTCGCCTTCTTGACCAGTGTGTGCCGTATATGCCATCAAATGAGTCAGGCCATTGATTGTGAATTTGTACAGTATTTTTCTTTTAAAATTATTTTTAATGTTTAAAAAACAATGGAATGTAGCTTATATTTTCATAAGCTGCTTCAATGTTAAGTTTTGAAAATCAGCTGAAAACAGAGAAAAAAGTGAAATGAACTACCCACCTAGAATGTGGTTTTTTTTAAAAAATTGCTTTTTATCTCTGTGTGGGACCTTTGGGGAAGGTTAGTTTTGATTTCAGGAGACATTCAATTTGGATGTTTGGAGAATTAAAATTATTTGTTCTGTGGTTGGAGAGATGGCTCAGTGGTTAAGAACACTGTCTGCTCTTTTGAGGTCCTGACTTCAATTCCCAGCAACCACATGGTGGCTCATAACCATCTATAGTGGGATCTGATGCCCTCTTCTAACATAAAAGTATATATGCAGATAGAGCACTCATCTACATAAAATAAATTAAAAAATCTTTAAAAACTTATTTGTTCTGGAGAGAAGTTCTTTTTGTTTTGTTTTTTTTGTTGTTTTTTTTGGGGGGGGCAGGGTTTCTCTGTATAGCCTTGGCTGAAACATGAGCTTTCTTTCCTGCCAGCCTGGTCCCACAGCCACATCATCCCAAAAAGAATACTCAGAGACTTACATTAATTATAATACTGTTGGGTGCTGGCTTGGGTTTCTTATTAGCTATCTCTGTATTAATTATTAACCCATAACTACTAATCTATGTATTTCCACATGACCTTGGCTTACCAGAGAATGCCAGACCTGCAACTCTTTGCCTGCTACATGATGACTCAGCATCTCCATAAAGAAGAAAGCAATGTCCTGTTTGTTCCTGTTTATATCCTGATTCTGCCCAGCTATGTCACTTCCTGTCTGGACAATCAGCCAATCAGTGTTTTATTCATTCACCAATAAGAGAAACATATACACAGAAAAACATTCCCCATCACTTGGCTATCCTAGAACTCATTCTGTAGACCAGGCTGGACTCACTCACAGAGATCCACCTGCCTCTGCCTCCTGAGTGCTGGAATTAAAGGCATGCACCACCACCACAACCTCCCAGCTGGAGAGAAGTTCTTGATGGTGTCCCCCTCACACTTCTGACACTGACTTAGATATTAAAATGTGGAGCTTATAAGAAATCTAAAATAAAAAATGAATTAGCACAGCTTCACTTAAAATTGCAAAAGAGGAAAAAAATAATAAAGTACCCAAGGGATAGCTTAGTAGATAAAAACACTAGCTGGAACGGAAATAACCTACTCTTGAAACTTATTCTGTCAATTTCACACATAGAAGTTGCCCTGATCCTCGCTCATCCTGCCACCAAACACACGCTAAAAAAAAATTGAGAGGGGTGGGAAGGTTGAGAGAGTGACAAACACAATAATAGCACTACAATTTATATTCTAGGTACTGTATAAGCATATTGTTGCCCTTATTAACTCTTACAACCAGCTCTGTGAGGTAGATATAGATAATATGTCCATTTGATAGGTGAGGAAAATAAAGAGCAACAATGTACAGAATGTCACTCATGATAGCAGAGTAAATGACAGCTGTTGTTTGAAATGACACCTGGATTTTGTAGGCTTGGTATCTTAAAACTATACTATTATGCGTTAGCTGGTATCTGAGGAGATTGGGGGACTGTGTCCAAATACAATATTTGAAACTGGACATGGTAGCACACACCTGTAATAACACTTAGGAGGCTGAGGCAGGAGGATTACTGAGAACTTAAAACCACTCTGGGCTATATAGTAAATTCTAAGCCACCTAAGAGAAATCCTTATTGTACCCTGTGTGAAGATATATTTGTGTTTTCCCTAGCTGTTAAAAGCCTGATTGTTTTTCTTTTCTTTTCTTTTTTCTTTTTTGGTTTGGCTTTTTTTTTTCCAAGACAGGGTTTCTCTGTGAAACAGTCCTGGCTGTCCTGAAACTCCATTTGTAGACCTGGCTGACCTCAAACTCACTGAGATCTGCCTGCCTCTGCCTCTCAAATGCTGGGATTAAAGGTGCAAGCCACCACCACATGGCCTCATTGGTTTAAAGAGCTGAATAGTTCTTATCGAGGAAGGAGAGAATTGGTAGGACTTCAGAGGAGAGAGAGGTACTCAGGGTTATTTCCTGGTATGGCAGGAAATACCAGTGAGACACAGAGGAAGTCAGACATGCAGAATGGAGTAAAGGTAGATAATCACACGGCAGAATGTTGTTTA